GGAGATCCCGAGGCGACACCAGGCCAGCACACAGACATAGTCCCTCCAACATGCCCTGGGTGTTCCATGAGGCCTCCTCCCATTGGGACATGCCTGGAACAACTCCCGAGGGTGGAAACCAGGAGGCCTCCGAAACAGATGCCCGAGCCACCTCAACTGGACCCTTTTGATATTGAGAAGCAATGACTATAATCCGAACTCTTCCCTGGTAACTGAGCTCCTCACCCAACCTTAAAGGGTTTGCCCAGTCACCCTGCGAAAGGAAACTCCTTTTGGCTGCTTGTATTTGCGATCTTGTCCTTTCGGTCATTACCCAGATCTCATGACAATAGGTGAGGTTGGCAACGTAGATCAATCGGTAAATCGAGAGCTTTCCCCCCTGACTTAGCTCCCTCTTTACCACGACAGTCCGATATAGCGACTGCATCACTGCTGATGCTGTAACGATCCGTTTATCGATCTCATGCTTCATCCGTCCCTCACTCGTGAACAAGACCCAGAGATACTTGAACTCCGCTTGAGACAATGACTCTCCACTGACCTGAAGAGGGGAGTCCATCTTTCAATCAAGGCCAAGGATTTGGAGGTGCTGATCCTCATCCTGGCCACTTCACACTCGGCTGCAAACCGCCCAGTGCACATTGAAGGCCCCGGTTTGATGAGGCACAGCCAGGGACTGGGACACCCTCCAGTCCCTGGCTGTGCCTCAAAATTCTGTTCATAAATGTAATGAACAGAACCGGTGACAAAGGACAGCCCTGGTGAACATCATGATTTAATGCCAACTACGAAACAAGGAATTATTGCATAAGATACATTACAAAGACATAGTCCCTCTAATGTGTCCTGGGTTATCCCCTAGTCCAGGGGTAACAATTAAAAATCAGCGTGGTCCGGATAAAGAAAATCAACATCCAGTAAATGTCCAGAGAGATTTTTTAGAGTAGAGAACAACAGTCGTTCAATTTGGTATATAGACAATTTCCTGATTTACATATTTTATAAAACACCTGAACTGACCGTTTGTTATTTTTTCTTTCTTTTGTATTGCCTAATGAGAGCAGTAGGCTTTAGGCTGACCTGCAAGGCTTTAAACCTGAATTTGAATGGAGACAAAGCCATTCTCAAGCACGTATCAAGGTGCTCATTTTGAGCCTGGATCCATATTTATTTTTGATTCTGTTCATGGTGGAGAATCCTGCTTCATTGCAGTAGGTTGAGCCAAACATACTCAAATGTGCAGGGTCATCTTTGAGCACACCATTTTAATTTTCTGTCACCAGTTCACCACAGTTCTTCCAGCAGTCCACACTTTCTCTGCTTTCTTTTTCTTATCGTCTTCTCCTTTCACATCGCGTGGCTTGCCACATGTTTGCCTGCTGTTTCCAAAAGTAGCTAGCATAGGGGAAAACCACCTTGGAGCAGGTGTGTGTGTGTGTGTGTGTGTGTGTGTGTGTTTGTGTGTGTGTGTGTGAATGGGATCTCTGTTCCCATGCATAGAGATGTCTGTGGCATGCACTCACTTAACATAGACCTACGTAATCCTACAATAACATGATATTTACTGTTGATTTATTAAAGAATGTTTTTCAGTAAAAGTCAACAGCAATAACTCCAATAACAAATGATAATTTCATTCAAAATGTATTTATTAAAAATGCTTAACAATTCCTGTAATGAATGAATAGTACAATGAAAGAAATAATGTCTCATCTAAACATCCCTCACTTAATAAAAGTTAACAATAACTCTCAACTCCCAATAACAGATGATACTCAGCCTCAGCAATGAACGAAATAATGTCTGTTCTGTAGGCTATTGGAAAAAATAAATTAACAAATGAGCTAATTAACAAAAAATACCTCTTGTGTAGCAAAAATTATTCAAAATGTACCAAAAACGAACAAACATATCAATAGACTATCTTTACTTTCGGAGTCCAGGTGGCTTTTCAGATCCCTTGCACCTCCATTGGACACCAAGACATATGTGCCTGCTTTGCACACTGTGCACAAGGCCTCCCATTTGTCTCGACCCGCTCTGAAAGCGGGGAAACTCTCTTGTAAATCGTCGGTAAACATACATTTGCGCTTTTGCATGTTGTTGGCGTACTGACAGCCACGATATCTATATTCTGATTAAGAACAGGGCTGCCCGCACTGACGCGGCTCAGGGATTACGTCACACGCAGCGTCGTGCGCAGTGCCCTAGTGCCTATAAATTTAATGGTCCAATTAAGGTAATTTAAAAAATCAGGACATTTCCTCACTTTCTAAAAAAAACATATGCTCTAGGCCTTCTCCCGGTGAAATGTGCCTGGAACACCTTCCGAGGGGGGCTTCCAGTTGGCATCCGAAAACGATATCTGAGCCACCTCAGCTGACCCCTCTATATGTGCAGGAGAAGAGGCACTACTTCGAGCCTCTCCAGAATGACCAAGCTCATTCTTTTGTTCATGATCCAGATTTCTAATGATATCAATTAACAAATGTCTAATTTTAATATCCGTTCCATATTTGTATCAATTGTTGTTTTCTTACCATGTGTTTTCCACTGGTACAGTGGAAATGACAATTATTTTTGTCTCCGTTTTAGGATATTCTAATAAATAAGCCTGTTATCATAACAGCACATAACCACTTATTTTGTGCTGTTGTTATATTAAATTATTTCATCAACACATTACAGATATTAACTCTGTGCTGCTTGACAGCATTGACCCTTTATAATTTTCCTTCTGATCTAACCACTATGTGAGAAACATGTGTCCATGGTGTTTAATCATGCAACACTCGGCAGCAATAGAACCCACAGTAGGCTAAGTTTCCAAGGATACAATGTTTGCTAACTTCATGGCAGAAAAACTGCTCAACAAGTTTGTCCCATTTTAGGCTCCTCCCCGCACTCACAACTGGGCTGGATCTTGGATTTATTTAGTGGTTAGTGTTTCTCTGGAGTCACAGCATAATTATTAAAGAGCTGTCTGTTTTTAATATATTTTCCAAAGAATTATTTATCTTTTCACAACTAGTCATGTTCTTTCAATTATCACTCATTTCGTATTTTTTTGTTCCCTTGAATCTGTAGCATTGCGCTGGACTGTCTATGCCCAAAATGAGTTAATATATGCAAATGCAAAGAAAGCTCCAACTGAAAGAGTGTGAAAGTGTTGAGACCTGCTTACCATTGTATAACAACACAGGAAAAAAAATTGGCATGTCATTTTGACATGAGTATTACTTATTACTGTCCTTCAAGTTTTTAATTTTCCAAAAATAAATTTGGTTTCTTTTCAATTGAAAATGTGTTGTTCAAAGGTCACTTCTATACCTACCATTTTTATGCTGCTTGTCTTTCCTGAATTCCTCCATCTATCCCTGAGTTTTACCAACAGACCACACCCTGCTATAGTTGGTCTCTTTCATAATCAGCAGCCTGGCTCTTTGTTTTAAAATGGGTAGCATTTCCTGTGATCTTGTTCACAAAGTGGGCTGAACATTTACTTTTAAATGTTTTTTAAATGTCATACTTTTTACTATTTAATGATTACAGTCAACCCAGAAGTATTTAGAGCATTTCATATGTTAAATGCTATGTTAAATGCCTTGACCTCCCACCAGAGGCGGGAGGTCAAGGCATAATGTCTATCAGAGCCATTGTCCAAGTTTAGACATGCTTTATATTTTGTTCAAAAAACCTTTCAAGTTCAAAAGCCAGACTCACATAAGTAGGTTGTTGCAAAATTGAAAGAGGGACTACAGAGGGGTTCAAAGTTCTTTCTTAAATCCTGACATATTTGAAAGTTAGTGACAGAATATGTTGCATGCCATGCAGCTTCCTTCTTTTTTGGTGCCAAAATTTACCTAATTAATTAAATTAAACTGCCGATCGATGCAGTAGGCTTTGGAACAAAAGAGTCATATTGTCTCCAGCTTGCTTTTCTGTCTTTTCAAAGATTTCTTAATTTCAGGCTTTACATTGACTAGACTGTATTTCACAAATGTCTTCCATTTTTCACAACTAAATTCCAACTACCTTTTAGAGTTGAACAAAGTACACAATGACAAAAAGGGTTATATTATGGCTTTCTAAAAACTGTACAATAAAAATATGCAGGATAGCAGAAAAAAATATCACCTTGCAGAGTCTGTAAACTTCCTTGATTTTCATTTATAGCAATGAATGCAAATATGTAAGGTGTAACTGTTAAGAAAAATGCATAAAATCCTACCTGTTTTGATGTTCAGAACAGGTCCTGAAGAAACAAATAAAACAATTTGGGGAAGAAAAATAATCCAGAAAACTGTATGAACACAGAGGGCTCTATAACAAAGATAAAAAATTATCAGACAGTTTGAAACAGAAAGTGGTTACTAGCACAAGCGACTGCAGAAGGTTATGAGACAGAGGTGGGAGGTTCAAAGTCTACTTTCTACTTGTCTCCTGACTTCAGTCCAGTGGAATTACAGATATTAAGTCACAGCATAATTATTAAAGAGCTGTCTGTTTTTTATGTATTTTCTTACGAATTATTTATCATCTTTACAACTAGTCATGTTCTTTCTATTATCACTCATTTCATATTTTTGTTCCTTTGAATCTGTGGCATTGTGCTGGACTTTCTATGCCCAAAATGAGTTCATGTATGCATATGCAAAGAAAGCTCCAACTGAAAGAGACGTGTTGAGACCTGCTTAGCATTGTATAACCACACAGGGGAAAAAAATGGCATATCATTTTGACATATGAGTATTACTCATTACTGTCCTTCAAGTTTTTAATTTTCAAAAAATGAATTGGTTTTGTTTTCAAATTAAAATGTATTGTTTAAAGGTCACTTCTATACCTACCAGTTTCCCTTTGCCATTTTTCAGCTGCTTGTCTTTCCTTAATTCCTTCACCTATCCCTGAGTTTTACCAACAGACCACACCCTGCTGTATTTGATCTCTTTCATAATCAGCAACCTGGCTCTTTGTTTTAAAACAGGTTTCCAGTGATCTTGTTCACAAAGTGGGCTGAGTCATTTTTGTTGCACCTTTCCAGGATTTCTTCCCATCTGTTTTTGCTCTTTTCAATTTTCTCCTCCAGTCTGCTTGACTTAACCCTTTGCATGAACAGGTGAGCATTTTAAATGTGTTAATCTGAACTCTAGAAATGTTTATTCTTACTGCATTCCTTTGATGCACATGCTGAGAAAGTAATTCATTATACTGTGGCTGTATTTATGAGCAGTGATCACTCATACTATCAGATTATGTTACTTTCAGTTTCTGTTCTTTGAAATGGATACTTTTTTACGTGATAAGCTAAACCAGTGGGATCTGAATTGTTTAAACAATACATGTAAAGGTTTACCGGTAGTAATAATTCAAGACTGTTAAAAGAATATAGTGTGCATTGTGATTGTGTTAACAAAAACTGATGCTCTAATAATGCATACATTGGGAAAGGGGCTTTTTCTTCAAACTTCTGCATCTAGAGTTAAAGTTTAAAGTACAACTATGTAGCTTTGTTCCACAATGTTCACATTATTTCATACATGTTAAAGTATTTTCAGGTCAATATGCATCACTTGGCATGTATCAATGTTCCATGTGGGTTGCCCTTTTAAACACTTTCCTTTGTAACTTTGGAGGGTCAGATCCATCATTGAGTGGGTGATCCAAAGGGGGAAATTTGTTTTGTATTAACTAGTAACTCAAAGACTTCTCAGTCTTAATCTAAAAAGGTCTGAAATCTGATTCCAAAACATGGAGAAAGACTCTTAAAGGTCCCATATTATTCCACATTTCAAAATATAAATATTAACGATAAGCCCCCAATAGCATGTTATTGCTGCTTGTGGAGGAAAATTCCTCTAAAATTAGGCAGACAGCCTTTACAAAAAATATTGTAAAGGCTGTCTGCCTAATTCCTGAGCATAAACTGTCTTGACTTTCCAAGCCCCTGTCCTCCCAAAAACCGCATCCCCACAACCCGAAAACATGACAACCAATCAGAGTTCCTAATGATAGTCCAGGGATTATACATAATTTGAAAGCCTTTGCTTGGCCGATTGGATGCAACAGCTTGCGCTAGACTGCTTGTTCCCCCTTATGACATCATAAAGTGCATGATTTTTCAAACAGAGCATTTTGTTACACATTAGCTAAGAGGTGGAGAAAAGCAATGATAGAAGTAAAAGGGTTTATTTCATATGCAAACTACATACCCAGGCTTCAGGACACATATGACTGTTACAAAATGTTTATAAAGTGAATTTTACATAATATGAGATCTTTACATTTTGTAAGACTGCAGTGTTGCCAGTGGCTAAACCTGAAAGTTAAAGATCTAGCGCCCCTTGTGGCTAAAATGTATACTATGCTGCTTTAAGTTTTTACCAAAAACTTTGTCTTGTTTTAAGAAGATAACTTTAGCCTCATAACATAAATGTTTGCACCAAGTTATCATCTTGGTTATGGTTCTTAGGATGAACCAAAGTTAGGTTGAGCAAACCTATTAAGCTCTTTGATATTACGGATTTTTTTTCTCAGAACAGGTAACATCAATTTAGCCTGGGTGCCATTCCGAACTTAGTCCCGCCCACAAAGTTTGAGGTCGGGGAAGTTCGGTCTGGCTCTGCTCCATAGTAGCGCGAGTATTATCGCCCACTGTCAGGCGATCCAATCAAATTGTCAGGGCGGGCTTTATACGATGATGGACAGATGATCAACAGTAATGTAATCAACCATGTGACCAAAGTGCGCTTTGGTGACAACAATAATGGCTGCCGCTGGAGAGTTTAGGTGAGTAGATTCTGCTATTAGGTCTGTTCTAGAAGATATCGACAGCAAATTAATTTTAAAAGAGGAACAGAGAAACGCGATCAAGTCTCATCTTCTTATTATAGGCGTGCAATTGCACACTTTGATTTTTGTGGACAACAACTATGCCTCGCTTAACATATGTCACGCACTCCGTTGCTCTTGTTGGTTGTAGGTCTATCCAATTGAGTGCAGAGGCATTTTTTTTGCTGGTTCGTTCGAAACACGCCCCATAATCACAGCTCTATGGAGCAGTATCAGACTCATATTCTGACTAGAATTGAGTCGGACTACGTCAGGCTAACATCAATTATCCTCCGATCTGAAGCATATTCTCTCTTCTAGGTCCTACTCATTTCATTAAGTCAGCAGAGAGGAAACTATCTTTGACAGAGAAGGAACTCCAGATTGATGTGCTAAATCCTTGGGCCTTTTGCCTTACAAACTTCAAATCTTTAAGGACTCGTAAGCCAAAGTGGTTGTAAATCAATGGTTGCTATGACAAGTGCTGTAAACTAAGGAGCGAAATAGTGCTGGCAGTAGGAAAAGAAGCTACAGTAGAAAAGGAAAGCTAGATGCTTTCTATTTACATTTAGCATTGTGGACTTACAACTGGATGGTGCGTAGGAGCTATATGGATACCCACAATTCTTTGCATGTCAGGATGTATAAGCACAACTCCCTCACTGAATTAAATAAAAAATATATTATTCCTTAAAGGAGAAGTTCACTTTTTAACACTTTAAGCCCATTTTCTGTAGTGTCCAGGATGAAATCGAATGATCGACACCAAAATTTTTACTCCGACGTCGAGGTGCTAACGTCTCTGTTAAACACTTTAAAAAACTCTGAAAATGGAATACGAAAGGTGGATTCTTGATTCTTGATTCTCGACGTCGGAGTACACAGAGTGAAGCGAAAAGACTGCAACTGTGTAAACAGGCCCCATTTCCGTTTCCGGTGGCAGGGGAATATTGACTATTCCAACAGAACTCAATGGGATTTACAAAATGCTAAATAAAACACTACAGGAACGTTTTTTCTTTACGAAACTTTTTTTGGAACGTCATTGAACAGCGCTGACGACCCGGTGAGTAGCATATTTTAAAAAAAGAACGTTTAAGGTTGTTTTAAGGACATTATCGGACATGCACAATGGAAGCCATTCTGAAGCAGCCAGGGGGTGATTCTGCATGAGCCAAAAAGCAGAGACAGGACCAATTGTCAAAATTTTGGTGTCGATCATTCGATTTCATCCTGGACACTACAGAAAATGGGCTTAAAGTGTTAAAAAGTGAACTTCTCCTTTAAGGAATAATATATTTTTTGTTTAATTCAGTGAGGGAGTTGTGCTTATACATCCTGACATGCAAAGAATTGTGGGTATCCATATAGCTCCTACGCACCATCCAGTTGTAAGTCCACAATGCTAAATGTAAATAGAAAGCATCTAGCTTTCCTTTTCTACTGTAGCTTCTTTTCCTACTGCCAGCACTATTTCGCTCCTTAGTTTACAGCACTTGTCATAGCAACCATTGATTTACAACCACTTTACAACCACTTTGGCTTACGAGAATCAAGAATCCACCTTTCGTATTCCATTTTCAGAGTTTTTTAAAGTGTTTAACAGAGACGTTAGCACCTCGACGTCGGAGTACACAGAGTGAAGCGAAAAGACTACAACTGTGTAAACAGGCCCCATTTCCGTTTCCGGTGGCAGGGGAATATTGACTATTCCTACAGAACTCAATGGGATTTACAAAATGCTAAATAAAACACTACAGGAACGTTTTTTCTTTACGAAACTTTTTTTGGAACGTCATTGAACAGCGCTGACGACCCGGTGAGTAGCATATTTTAAAAAAAGAACGTTTAAGGTTGTTTTAAGGACATTATCGGACATGCACAATGGAAGCCATTCTGAAGCAGCCAGGGGGGGATTCTGCATGAGCCAAAAAGCAGAGACAGGACCAATTGTCAAAATTTTGGTGTCGATCATTCGATTTCATCCTGGACACTACAGAAAATGGGCTTAAAGTGTTAAAAAGTGAACTTCTCCTTTAACATGTCTTGTGTGTAATAAATCCATATTTTTTGGGATTTATAAAGTAAAGCTTTAGTTATTTGGTATATTTGTCCAACTTGTATTTTTGTACTTCAGAAGGCTGTAGCCCCAATTTAACAGGCATCATCTATGCGTGTTTCCATTTCGTAATAATTTCCTTAAGACTTAAGGTTGTACACATTTAGCCCAGAAGACTTGAGCACTGAAGCACCCCCAAATTAAATCAAAGCACCCAAACAAAACAACTGTAACATAAAAAATATGAAATACAATACTTGTTTAAAGTGATATTATAAATTATTATTATTATCAGTCATCCAGGTCATAGTCAATCCAAAAAAATAAAATTAAAAACAACATTGTATACATTGGAGAAGCCAAACAACCTCTCCACAGACGTATGGCCCAACACAGACCTCATCGGAACAAAACTCTGTGGTACATCTACACCTCATGGACGAAGGACAGTCTTTTGAGGACTAGAATGTTCACATTTGGGAAAAAGAAAATAGGTGGTTTGAGAGGGTCGTGAAGGAAGCCATCTATGTTAAGAAAGAAAAGACAACAACCTTAAACAGAGGGAGTGGACTCAGGTTTCACCTTTCAAAAACATACAATGCAACAATTGAGTTAATCCCTTCCCGCTATCGTTGCATCCCCAGCCTCTGTACAGGAGAGCGGGAGACCTCGCCTATTCAGCCAGGCCAACAGTTTCCTTTAACAACCGACCTTTCAGACACTTAGACACGTATAGGGCATTGCAGACTATCAAAAGAAGCCAAATGACCCCCATTCCAAAGGGGTAGACCCATTTGTCCATTTCAATTAGCATATTTTCAAAACAAAAACAAGGCTTTGTTGGGCTACTGTATAAAACCTCGAACTCAACACTATTCCTGACATTTTGAATTGAAAAAGCCTCCTGGATGGGAAGCGAAACGTCTTCAAATTTGGAAACAAAGTCCAGTGGATTGTTTTTAATTTTCTTTTTTTTTATTTTAAACTGAGCAGTTTTATTGCAAGACAAGTTTATTTATATAGCACATTAAGGCAGCAGGACAGTTGAAAGTGTTATGCATAAAAAACACAATAGGAAAACACACATGGTGTGTTCTTGTGCTCGGTCTTCTCCACTGAATTCTATTCAACCCCTGACTTTGATCACAATCTGGGTTATTTCTACCTATCACCACTTTGTTTTACCTGCATCCCATCTACTCTTAGCCTACTTCCAGAGGCTGTTTGGGGATAATTTCTTCCTAGTGATATCATTTCACAAATTATTAAAATCTGGGTTTTTTTTTCCTGATCCTCAGATTGCATCTCTTCCAGAATTACTATTATATTATATTATATTATATTATATTATATTATATTATATTATATTATATTATATTATATTATATTATATTATATTATATTATATTATATTATATTATATTATATTATTATATTATTTGTGTGGTAAATACAGTATGATGTCTTAATCTAAATCTCATGTAGTTTGTTATTTTGACAGCTAATTAGTGACCTAACCCGTTCAAGCAGAATCTACCATGGAGGAACCAGCAGTAAAAAGGATGCATGACAGCTTCCAATTCGCAGGTATTTTTAGGGTGTTTATTTGATCAAAAAAGATTACACATATTCAGGAAAGTGAAAAGTATTCTGCTTAAAAGATGTGTATTTATAATATCTCTTGTACAAATCCTACATTAAAGAAGTGAGGGTCAAATTAAAATTTTTCTTTCTTCACATTAATTATTCAGTGTTACTGCTCGGTATATGTTTTGTGTTTACTTACAGAAGCAGTGATACTACCTGATGCGAAAATCATAATGACGCATGTTCAAGCCAATCTACACAATCAGATGTGCACAGATCTTACTGAATTCCTTAAGTAAGTATGATTTGAATCTTCCTCATTATGCCTTAGATATAATCATTAGTAAGTATTAGCTCTATCTTAGATTCCTTGATTTCGAAGAGTTTCAGTCAGGTTTTTGTTATCTTATATGGTACTATGTTATTTAATCATATAACCTTTGCTGATATTTTGTCCTGTGAATACATACAGGTACAGAGTAATAGGTATTATTAGGGTACTTGGTGGGGTCTGTATTCGATGCCTATGTGGTAAATGACAGTCACACCAAAAGGGGCACGATATGATGAATGATTTGAGTGTTGGGATGTCCATAATGTACAACGTTTTCAAGCAAAAGAATGTCCATCCATGCATTTGGCACCAGGATACCCCAGGCCAGAGGTCAATCATTTACCTTGTGGTGTCAGGATTCTGCCGAAAATGCCCACGCACAATAAATCCTCCTACAAGTAGCTGAATTTCAAACAGATGCTCCTAAACTACTCTTCACCTGCATGTTCAACTATCACTTGTGCAAATAAAGTACCAGAGGCCCCAATATATCACATGAGTGCTTGCTCCTTCCGCAGCCTCTCTCCTCCTCGTGAGTGGACCTACTTCTGCTAACTTCTGTCAACTTTTGTCACTTTGAAGGTGTTACCCACCAGATAAAGCAACTTGCCTGTGATTGGCTACTTTTCAGGAAATCCCACCTATTTAGGGTATACTCTTCTTCTTACTAGCAAAGCAACTTCAGGCTTCTCTTCAGCTGCTTTTCTTCAAGAGTTGGAAGTTGGTAAGTGAAGCCATCCATAAATATAGCAAATATGGCAGGACAGTTTACACTAGTTATCTTGGTAACACGTCAACTGCCTTGTCCTTCCTGAGGTGTTTGTCACTTTGACAAAAGGTGACAAGGGCAACAGGTCCACACAAGGAAAAAATAAATAAAAGATCAACTCTATTGCCTTAAATATGTCTTAGCCTGTAGTGCACTAAACCTACAAGCATAAATTAAATACAATTCACAGTAAACAGCACCTGCAGTTCTGGTCTTGGAAATGTCTTCCAAGCTCCAGAATGATGAAGAGGCTGTCAACATGGATGGCAGAGGTCATGAGGGAAGAGACCCTACTGGCCACAACTGTGACAATCTGGCTGGTTGTCATGATGGGTCTCTAGTGTATAAACCCACATGCATAACACCACAGAAACGGGATAAAAGTTTATTTAAGATGCACACACAGAAAAACAAGATCTGGTTCTGGTACAGGTCTGGGACAGCAGTCACTGAGAATCTGCAGAGATGGATTGTTTGGTTAGCCAGGCAGTGGAGAGGGCTTGTTGATGTTTGATTCAGATTTGTACCTTGATGAGGTTCAGGCAGATCACTGGAGAGGGGGAACCAATTGGGTCCAGAGACAGTGGGTTCAGCAGAGAGCTCAGCAGCAGCAGCGTCTAGCTTCAGACAATTGAGTTTCAGATCTTGAATGATGTCCAAGCTCTCCCATGAGAGCTGATTGGGGAGGCAGGCAGGTTTTCAAGCTAGCTCCTCCAGAGCTACAGACTTTAGTCAGGCTTTCCAAAACTGGTCAACACTCCGGCGAAGAAGTCAGGTCTGGCTGCTGCCTATGTAGGAGGTCTCCTGATGGGCTGATGATCCACAGGTGTGCTGGAGGCTCCAGCCCAGGAGACCCACAGCGCTCTCTGCTGGAGACAGGCGGCAGATCTCCAGATCCCAACACTGGTGGTAACATTAGTTTTTTCTCTAGATTACAGGTGGACATATTGGTCCTCCAGTGTACTCTTGCTCTGGTACAGCACAATTTCATGGATGACCCATCCTTGTCGTGTATTATCTCTCTTCTTAACGACTTAAAGATTAGGACTAAGTTTTGTAAAAATTCAAAGTTCTTAAAAAGCAGAAAAGTCTCAAACAAAGATCCAAAAATCAGTCAGAAGCAGTTGAGTCCAAGTCCAGGGTGTTTTATTGCAAAACACAACACAACCACACGGAGCTGGTCCCCGGTGAGCAACTGAACAAATGGTGAAAACAGCCCTCTTTTATACATTTCATTGGGCTTGGGGCTCCTCCCCCAAGCCCCCTCCTTTGTTTACATCATTTCAGGTGTTTTTCTTCGGGTAAGACCAATTATTTTTATCTTATCAGTGGAAAACCCCTTTCAAAGCATATTTTTATATATATTTAATCAACAGTCTTTGTTACAGGTTATGGTGACATTCTTTTGCAAATCATGATGACATTTATTGCTACTAAATCATAGACACATCATATTCTTAATTATCAACCCGCCAAAACAAAACTTTCATCCAATGTAACTTATGATTATGACATTTCTGTGAGAGCGGTCTCACCGGTCATGATGACATCTGGTGCACTTAAATCAGAAACTTATGACAGTTTAATTACTAATCTGTCAAAACTAAGCCTTTCTTCCAATGTGATCTAAGACCATAATATTACTCCAAGCTAGGTCAGTATCACCCTGGTGTTCCCCGTGTGTTCCATGTCCCAGCAAAGCATCACCCTTTTCTATGACCAGTACTGCACAGTGTGTTTTGAAGATGACAACTCAATTCATCACAGTTAGTTTGGCTAAACTTAGCTGAGCTGGGCAACCTTGGTATGTCAAATAACTCATTTTTAATGAGAGTGCTTCTATCTCTAAAAGGCCAGGTGCAGAGTTACACACACACACACTGCTCTGCTTCTCTCCCTTTGGCTTTGGAAGGCAGTCATACACACACGCTGCTCTGCTTCTCTCCTTTGGCCTTGAAAAGTTTTTATAAATGTATTTGTGAAAACAACTTTAAACTTATACTCATAACTTATACTTATAACATTAACTCTATTTTATTCTAGTCATTGGTGCAGATTAATACACTACATCCTCAGAGATCTTTATACACAACTTTAAAAAAAACAACACTTGTTTTGCTTGCTGTTAATACACTGTCTCACATTTACTGCTTTTCTCCCTTTGTAGGGAACCGTCATCTTGTTCAGGGACTGCTTTTATGTCTCTTTCTAATGCCTTAAAGCAGTATTGAGGAATGTGAACAACCCTAACGCTGCTATGGATTTGGTATTTCTCATTGAATTGGTCCAACCACTTTGACGACATGAGGTCAGCACCTTGAGCGATACTGGTACTGTTACTGATAGTTATAGCCCAGTGCTCCTTAACAGTTTGGAGCCAAACAATCCCTTTATAGCTAAAGATTGCTACAAAGGTCATTATTAGGCCCGAGCGGCGAAGCGCTGTGAAGGCCTTGTAATAATTATGTGATCTGTGGTGAAAGTGCACTATATTGTTCTGAATGACATATAAGTTGGTTTGGTATGTCATGTGACTTATGGGAGCCAAAGTATCTATTTGAAGTTGGGGAAGGTAGTCAGGTTTAGTCAGGTTTTATTAGGGCAGGGGTGCTTTGTCAATGTCATCTTTGTGCCAGGTGGTTGATTTGGCTGCTGACATTTTGCTGTTTGTGGGCCTCTTGGCTTGCTGTGTATGCTGTTATTGTCATCTTTATCCTCTTCGCTATCATTATCAATATCATCCTACGCCTTCAGGACCTCCACTCTAGGTTGTGTTTCATCTTAGAAGAGGGGACCATCTCATTTGTGTCTTGAATGTGCAGGTTGTGGGTATATAGGACATAGTCTGGGTCTGGGACATCGTCATCATCTTCCTTGTCACTGGTGGCAGGGTGAGATGGCACAATAGTTTTGATGTGTTTGCAGTAATACAACTGAGCAGACAGCTGGTAATAAAAAATCGAGAAATAAAAGTCAGAAAACTTATTAGTTAAAGACTGACAAAAATCAAAAATATTTACAGCAATAAAATGCACAACAACTATTAACAGACAAACTGACAAAAAATAATACATTTTCACTGCAATCACAGATAAAACAGTTGTTACATAATAAAACTGATAAAAATGCTTGAAAATGTGTAGAAATGGTTAAGGCTTCTTATTGGATCATTATGGTATTATGCAAATTCTTGGCAACATCTATCACAATATATAAACAAATTTTCCTCATTTGTAAAGTACATTCAGTACTTGCATCAGGGGTATTCCAATAAGAGTCATACCTCCATAACTCCAGAGTTTACAGGAAGAGGGCATATGATCAAATGGATCATGGTCCTTTTTCCTTCTGTAATTTCAAACATTTTGCTTATTCCTTAGCAAATAATAGACATGTTATCACCTTAAATAACTATTTAACCATGATGTGATTTCATCGACTTGTCATTAGTAGTTTTTATTTTTCACTGTAAATTTGGAAAGTAACTGATCTCTCCTGATTGGTCAAATGCCAGAATAACATGTGCAACCATGAAGTAAGATCTTTCCTGGTTGGCTTGATTAAAGTAACTGGGGGTAAAGTAACTGGATTAAGGTAAAATAAGGAGGGACTTTATCTATAAGATGTGTAAAAGTTATCCAAAATGACAACTTGCCCAATAAAGAGTTAAGGGCAATTTATGCTTCTGACATAGCCTCTGCAACTGTCAAATGTCTGTGTGGTCGTCCTTCTCTATTCTGTGTGATCCGCGTAGTTCTCGCGAATTCTCGATTAGGCTCCCCCTTGGGTTAACCCTAACCCTTTGGCAGGAAACTGCTGTGTGTCCATAGAAATTCCAGACCGACGGTGCAGAAGCATACCAGCAAAACTGGTTCGTGACCAGACCCAAGCGACATTTGATGTGTGCGGTTGCAGAAGTCTAATCTACTCTTTAATTGTTTTTCACACCGTCCATGTGCTGTTGTGCTGTTTTCCAATTATTCCAACTAAAAGGCCTTCTGATTACCCATGTAATGGATAATCAATGTCATCAATAATCATGTAATCAATCACGCACGAGGAGAGGGATCAGTGTTCTTTAAATTAAGGAGGATCAAAGGAAAATTTAGCTTCGGATAGGCTGTACGAAGAAAGTCCTATCAGCAACAATGGTTAGAACTAAGATAGTGTGCTGCAAAAATCAGAGAAAAATCTACTGTGGTCATTGGTTGCATAGGAAACAAACAGGGCTTAATACTGGATCAAAATTCTAAGAATGTTGTCCCTTGCGGGCAAGTGGGACGATCTGTACAGTGTTTGCAGTCCTGGGGACAGGTTGTAGGACAAAGAGAGAAGCCTCTGTCTTCTTGGTGGTGGGCGCAGTGAGCAGTTTTGGGGTAGTACATATATGAGGACCCTAGATTGCAGGATGCTCCTTTTCTTCGAGATTTCATGAAAAGAGTTTATTTTACTTACAAACTGAAGCCCATGACTTTAGTGGTCAGATCCTGTGTGACATCCAATATTCATATTCCTTTTATATCTTGGCTGTGAGGCCAAGAACTGCAGTACAAACAATACACCTGTCAAAAAGCTCAATGACATCCCTAAAAAAATGTAAGAGAACTAATAGTATTGGATATCTGGATATCAGTGCAGCATTCAACACTGTTGATCACTCTGTTCTTTTGGAGCACCTGGAAAACTGGGGTGGCCTTTTTGGTAAAGCACTTGATTTGTTTAAATCCTGCTTGTGTCAGTACTGTAGGCAAATTTATATTAGATATCTTATCATAGCTTTATCATGGTAGAGAAACCATGCACAATTCTGACACTGTCTGAGACATATCCATCAGGAAACATTTATGATTCATTTTACAAACATTTAACAGGTGAATGTTTTCTCAAAATTTTCAACAGGACCAACATTAAAGATTTGGAGATGGAAAAGAGGGAGTTAGTAGGTGTATTCGGTAAAACAGGATCTGGAAAGACCTCATTGATAAATGCTGTCATTGGTATACAGAAACTTTTGCCATCTGGCGATGTTGATGCATGTACCTCAGTCATGATTAAAGTGGAGTCAAATATGCACAACTCAAACTATGAAGCAGAAATAGAGTTTATCACCAAAGAGGTAAATAAAGATGTTAATCTGTTCCTTGTATTCTTGGTAAAGTATTGGAGGGTTATGCATCTGAAACTTATCAAACATATTTCTTTTCAGGATTGGGAAGATGAGTTGTTTACAGTAGATCACTTTCTTGAAAATGATGGAGAGCAGGAGAGGGATGATGAAGATGATGATGATGATGATGATGATAATGATAGCCGCCATGACCTTTTTGAGAAGATCTCAGCAGTGTATGGAGAAGAATGGAAACAAATATCATCACAACTCATGGATATCAACAACTTCAGTGAAATTCCAGAGTTTCTTCAGTCCACAAAGAAGATTTTAACTTTTGAATCTGTAAGTTGGACTTAGCAAATTAAACAGCATTTGGGAGCAATTTGCTAACGTTTACAATTAGCAACACTATATATTTCCATTGTTATGCTAACAATCATGATGTTCTACATCTGTCCATAATTCCTGATTGATCTAACCACTTGACCAGATACAGGCATGTCTTTAACACATAAAGACCTTGATGACTTTAATTTTACAGAAATTATTGTATTTGGATCCTCTTGGGAGAAAAAATGCTTGCTCAGTCATTTTATCTATACAGCACAAAATAGGCTCTCTATGATCAATAAAAACAAAAACCTTCTTTTACCTTTTATTAGGACATGTTTTTTTAATTCAACCTTAAAAGGGTTTTTGCTGGGAAATTGATTATTTACCATCAGGAACTCCACAAAATGCAGTTAAAAGCATTAAGCCTATCCAAAAAGCAAGAGTGTTATGAAAATAAAAAAAAATAAATCATATTTCTTCAAATTTAGCAATTCTTCAAATTTCCTTCCATTTAGTCGCTGCTCACTGGTTTGTTTTACTCTATCTCTATATTCTGCAAGGCTGAAGAGTTATCAGAAAATATTGCTAAGTACACAAGACAAGGAGAAGAAAGAGACAAACAAAGGTACTATTGGCCACTTGTGAAGTGTGTGACTGTCAAAGTGCCAAGAAATGATTTTCTCCAGCATGTAACTCTGGTGGACCTTCCTGGAAATGGAGATCGAAACAAGAGCAGGGACACGATGTGGAAACAGGTCATTTATATATTTATACTATGGAGTTGATTCCAATGTTATTTATGCTTTACTAGGACTGTTATATTTCAAAAATATTTTTAAGGAATAATTCTCAGTGTGAAAACATCATTTCAGATTATTGGAAAGTGTTCTGTGTTGTGGATTGTGTCTGAAATTAACCGGGCAGCAGCTGATAAAGAATCCTGGGAGATCCTGAAAAGCCTTGGAAATGATGGCGAGACTCGACACATTCACTTTATCTGCACAAAGTCTGATGTAGTTGGAGGTTCTAATGATGAGTAAGTTCACAGAATAAAACTGGAATGTTGCTTGAATTTAAAAATGATTCAGCCTGGGTATTAATTTTAATTTAAATTATTATCTTAACAAACACAACACTAACATTTCTATATTCTATGGGTGTTTCTATGGGTAGTAACCGATCTGAAGAGACCAGTTAATTTATAAGGTTTGATAAATGTTTGTAAAAATGAATAATTTTTGTTTTTTCTGAAAACTGAATAGAACAAAAGTTTACGGTTTAAAATAACATACATGATTAAACATACTACTAAAGGAATACATGAACACTTTATTGAATCTTATAAACACCCGTTAAGTAAAACAACATGAGTTTTTATGTATGCATGCTGGATTTCTTCTTTTTGTTATATGATAAAGCACAATTTTCATGCATATTGAAACCTGAATAAAGTCTATTCATGAAATATTACACCTAATTCGTAACCTATTTTGATTCTTAACTCTGAATTGACAGCATGAAGATAAAATATATCAAATGATCAAATGCTTTTTTAAGGAAAACCATATGTAAACTTTTTTTACTTTCTACTAAATAGCATGATGTGATATATGTCAGAAAAATGTTTCACCAGTGAATGCTTTCTTTTAGTTCGGAGGCTAATCTTCAGACCACAATTCTTAAGAGAAACATGGAGGCCAAGAAAGCAGTGCAAAATCAATTAAACAAGATACCATCCACTAAGGTAGCCAATGAGCATATTTAATATTAATAATATTTTAAAAATGACAAAATAAGTTAACATGCTCATTTATTCCACAGAGATATTGCAGAGATGAGTGTATTGAAGTGTTTACAGTGAGCGCTGCAGAGTTTCTGAAAAGTAAACACCTTAATCCAGATGACACTGGTAGGTTGAAACCAACAAAGAAAAGATAACTTCCTCAGCAATACCATTTAACTTTAATGTAAACCTTAATGTAATGTAATGTAAATTTGTCTTTTATAAGAAATCCCAAAGCTTCAAGATTTTCTAAAAAGTTTGAATAATCGTCCCTCAGAGACATTCAGCTTTATTTCCAGAGCTCAAAGGATTCTGGTTTTGATTCAAGGAGCCAGTCTGACAAAAGTGGTAAGCTTTATCCTGAGTTCATGAATATTTTTTATGTTAGTCAATGGCTAAGTGATATCCAATCTCTATATGAGGCTCCTGCTAGTTTCTTCTTTAACCTGAAACAGCTGTTGTTTGGGATTCTGGTTAGGATTTCTTGGCACGGCATTTGGTTAAAATTACCTCTTTTCTGTCTTTATAGCACAAACCAAAAAAATTGGAGTAATCAAATAATCAATAGATTGCTATAAACTAAAAAGGAACTAAAAGTAATATAGCTTTGAATAAAGGATATTTGTTTCTTTTTTAGGCTGGTGTTAATAATGTGAGTAAGGACCTTGAGACAAACCTAAACCATCAACTTAATGCAATCAAAAAGGAAATGAAAGAGATCCACACAGCATTTGGAAAATGTGTTGATCAAGGATTTGAAATATACCAAAATTCATTTGAAAGAATCCTGAAGTCCTTTTTATGTACTGCAGTAGGTAATCTGATGGTTATATACATTTAATCTGATAGTGTTCAGTGTTGGTTTTTAATTTCCGCTTTTTTGTCTTTTTTTCCCCACAGGGGAAGAGTGCCACAGCCCAATGCAACACACTAATGAGTGTCTTGAAAGATGGTGGCATCTACAAAACAAAAAATGGGAAAGAAATAAATCTCATCTTAAAATTATCTTTAAAATTGAGAACGAGTATTGATGAAGAATTCAGAAAAAACGTCCAGTAAGAATTTTATAAATACAAAAAAATACATAAACACATTAACATTATATGATACAACTATTGAAAATTATGTCAAATATTATAATGTGTTGAAATGTTTTAGCAATGATGGCATTTGCAGTCGATTACATGGAGTGATCAACAAGTTTTCACTTGAAACCGAAAAACTAAAAGAGAAGTACAAAGATTCAGAACTGCTGCTGATATTTCTTGAAACAGAGGTAATTCATAAAAAAATGCAATATGTTATTATATATTAAATGTAGAAATGCTTTAAATCACATATATCAAATTTTAGAACTTGAGGGCAAGTGTCTTGCAACTGTTAGCTATGTCTCTGCTTCAACATACACGAATCAGTCAATAGCAGGGCTCTGGAGAACCTGCTTGAATGTACTCATACTTTTCTTCTACTTTATCCTGGACTGGGTTGGGGGGCCACAACCTCAGCGGACCCAGACTTTCCCCTCCCCACGCACCTCCTCCAGCTCTGCTTGGTGAAGCATGAGGCCATCCCATGCCAGCTGAGAGACATAGTCCCCCACCATGCTATGTGTGGGGGGAGGCCCACCCAGAGCATCATTTTATTAGCATACACTAACTAGCATTGCCTCATTTGTAAAGAAAATGCACTGTGTACTTGCATTAGGGGGTATTCTAATAAGGGTCATACCAAATTAACTCTAGCGTTTGCTGGAAGAAGATGTATGATCATACATGGTTCTTTTTGTTCTGTATTTTCACAAATGTGTGATTCCTGGCCCAGGGTCTCTCTGCATGGAGTCTGCATGTTCTCCTGGTTCATGCGTGAGTTCTCTCTAGGTACTACTGTCATAGCTTTGTTAAGGTCTCTGATCCACATGTAAAAGAGAAAACTCCCAGGAGATAAGGAAATCAGATAATTAAGTTTAATGGAGTGAGATCCAGGTTTGTAGCTGTAAGTCGGTGGTGGTGAGTTTGGTTCATCCAGGTGAACTGTGATCTTGAGAGAGCTTTTGTAGCTGCTGTGCTGGCAGGGAGTGAAGATGGAGTGGTTCCAGTCCAGTAGATGAATCCAGTTAACTTCTTGCTATTTTGGAAGTGACTCAGTAGAGTAGTTTGCCCAGGCTTTCTCAGACAAGGGAACTGAAAATAACACACTGAGATCAATAGGGACAGTAAGTATTACCAAGTGCAGAGAGGCTGAGAGTTACCATGTGTGTTTGACACTTTGGCAAAGAGTGACTGGATCCCTGCTTCTCTTGTACAGCTCAGGTAATGAGGCTCATGGTTGCATGTCTCTGTGTGTCTTGGAAAAGACACACAGATAGGCACCGGCCCCAATATGACCCTGATTAAAGAGAAAGACGGATGGATGTGTGAATTTCATTTAATTACCATAGTTAATTTTATTTTTTCGCTGTAAATTGAGAGTGACTAATCTCTCCACTGATTAGTCAAAACCCAAAATTATGTGTGCAACCATGTAGTAAGATCTTTTCCAAGAGACATAGTCCCTCCAGCATGTTCTGAGTCTTCTACTTGCCCATCTCCCAGTGCTTTAAAATCCCCCAAAGGGAGGCATCCATCCTCCCATTGCATCTGTGAACTTGTTGTTTTGGTCATGTCTAGATTTCATGACCATATGTTCGGGTAGGAATGTAGAGCAACAGTAGGTTAAGAGCTTTGCCTTTTTTTGATCAGCTCCCTCGTCACAACAGCAGACCAGTTCACATTAAATCACCAGCCATGCCTATCCATCTATCGATCTCCCGCTCCCCAACTTGGGATTTCTGAAACCCCCCACAGTGCACCACGAGGCACACAGTCGAATGCCTTTTCCAGGTTACAAAACACATAAAGACCGGTTGGGCAAATTCCCAAGCACCCCTGAGAAACCAGTAGAGAAGATGGTCAGGATGAAAACCAGACCCTACTTCTGAAGTAGAGGTTCAATCATCAGCCAGACTCTCCTCTCCAGGACCCTGGCATAGGCCTTCCAGAGCATTCCCAGCATCCCCAGCATTTAAATTGACCAACATTCTGGTTTATAGGTAAAAACTCTGCACAAACTAATTACCCTAAGCTTGTGTGACAGGTTGATTGATGATGGCTAGAAATAGTCGGACTCGCCGTCATAAATAGCCTGGGCTCTAGAATCCAGCTCCTGCCTGAATGCTGAGAAAATAATTCAGCCATTGAATCAGGCGTGCTGGGCCAGGTGCACACCCAAATGTTGTAGGATAGTAGCCCTTGAAGATTTAAGTTTTACACTAATTTATTAAATGGTCTTTCTAAGATAGTTATGGGCAGCTCCAGTCCTCGAGAGCTGGTGTCCTGACATATTCAAATACGTTTCTTCTCAGGCATACCTGACGAGAAATCAAGTAATGATTACTCATTAATAAAGTAATGATAACTCATCAGGAGTGTGGACAACATGCATAATGAGGATGCAATTAAGCTATTTGATTCAAGTGGGGTTGATAAAGGATAAAAGATAGCTCTTAAACTTGCACAACAGCCCTCAAGGACAGGCCTTGCTCATAACTTATTTGAAAAGATGAAATCATATTTATTAAATCTTGATATTTATAATTGTCTACATTTTCCTTAGGAGGAAAAGCTCAGGACAAAAACTAGTAAAATGACTCAGGAGGGCAAAAGATTAATGTACAAAGTTTTAACAAAGACAGTTGAGGAAATTATGCAAGACTCCTACAGAGGTAAGAAAAACGCTACCATGAGACAGTAATTGCTACTTAACTATTGGTTATTGTTGGCAAAAATCAACCTATTTTGCAGAAGCAGCACGGTTTCGAGGAAAGAACACACTGCCGAACATAATGAAAACATTACAGAGACGTATGCACATTGACAAAAACCCCGTGTTTGCAAAAGCCAAAGATGTCATGATGGAACAGCTCAACAAATTGATGGTTTGTTTTTTTCTAGACTTGGTTTTTAATTTTTCTCCCCAGTGTCTTGAAAACGTAAAAATATACGTTTGTTATTTACATATTTTATCAGGTTATAACCAAAACTATTTAGGGGCAGATAAAGACAATTTTCATACAAATTGTAAAGAAATTGGTTGTAATTTTTGTCCCTTCTTTTTTTTAGAAATACAAATTTGAAAGGCATGTAATGTAACAGGTTTTACTTCTATAGATGGAATATTTTTCCTATTCTTGCAAAAAAGCTTAGTAGTGTCTCCATTCAGGTAACCATGTTCATGACTTACAGGATTGTGCTGTATTTAGCTTTATTCAGCTTAAAATAAATTCCAGGCTCCTTCTTTGAGATCCATCCCAACATTCATGAGTAGTTCTGATCCATGATTGTTTCTGCAACCACGTGTTACTAATTGTTTCAATTCAAAATTAGGATGATATCGTGGGTCTTTTGGAAAAAAACATGATGGAGTCCATTGGGCTGTCAATCCATTATCCATTTCCAGGTAAAGATGTCTGTCTGTCTGTCTGTCTGTCTGTCTGTCTGTCTGTCTGTCTGTCTGTCTGTCTGTCTGTCTGTCTGTCTGTCTGTCTGTCTGTCTCTACCTGGCATCTTCAGAAATAAATATATTTCTAATTTGACCAATACATTTCTCTGACTGGAAAGAATAATTGTTGTTAGGTCCAGCCTTAATGTGATTATGGGAGTTAAACCCAAAATCAGGGGACTCTAACCCTGATCAAAAGGATCTACTCTCCTGCATATTTTAGATGCATCCCTAAAGGGACTGCATTATGCAGGTAACGAGCAGAGTCTGTTTTTTTTTCAGATGCCAGGAGTGTGACTGATTTGTGACTATAACTGTAAATATGCCACTAAGAATTAATTTGTTACAAAAATTGCATAACCAAAGAAAATGTCTTCCTCAGATGTGTCAACAGAGATTTCGATGTTAAAGAAACTCCATAATGAGCTGCAAAGCAGCATTGATGCGTCGACCTCAGCAGAACCTTCCAGTAACTCAATGCTAGTGCCTGGACGAACAAACTTTGGTTTTAGCCAATTATGGTAACAAATGAAATGTTTGGGAACATGCAAACTGTGCAAGAACATGGCAAGGTTGACTCGCCTTAGGATTATTACAGTTGTTTCCATTACTCTAACACAGTCAGTGCCTTTGTTGGCATTACATACCCAGACATAAATCATTGAAAAACATGAACAGCTCTTTGTGAAGACTTGATCAACTTAGAAACTCCTCATGGATCAGGCTATTCATTTTGTTTTTTTTTAACTTGTTTTAAGACTGATTTTTGTTTTTTACAGCAGGATTAACAGAAATTTCAAGCAAGCTTCCATTGACCAATGCTGATTTGTATTCAAAACTGTCCTTTGAAATCAACTTTTTCAAAGAAAGTTAAAAATAGGAATGCAATTCAGTCTTTGAAAACTGCATCATTTAAGGTCTGCAGAAGGGTATTATTTAGTAGAAATGATCACAGATATGATAAATGTAGATTAGCAGCCTCTAAAGACTTTTTATATTGTTTTACATTCATGTTAAATTTTCTGATTATATATGTTTTAAAACTGTTTTAAAATGTAAATATCCGTTCAATGTTAAGTGATAAAATGTGCATGTTACTTGCTACCACAGCATTTTTTTCATACCTTGATTTCAGACTTTAAAGAGCTTTAGTGTTTTTTATTTGCAAAATTCAATAATCTTTTTAGTATATAGATTATATAGTACATAGTTTAATGTATATTAGAATATATGGTCTGTTTTACGGTTCTTGTTTTCTGTTTATTTTCTCTAGTTACTGTTATCACTCTGATGTAATCTAAAATTTATTTGAGAAGAAAATAAAAAGAAATGTTAATTTTATTTCCTAAATAATTAGTTGTTGTTTTTTTTTTTTTCCATTTTGAAAACTAAATTACAATTGCACCTATTATTTACGAACTTCAAAAAAAAATTTCTGGAGAGAGCTAGAAAAAAAAAAAAATCTGGCAGTGAGACAAAAAAAAATAATTCAGCCATAAATATATATATATGTATATATATATATATATATATATATATATATATATATATATATATATATATATATATATATATATATATATATATATATATATATATATATATATATATATATATATATATATATTTGGGTTATTTCTTCTCTCATAGACTAAATTATAGGCCTCACTCATTATTCTAAGTAGGAGAACTTGAACAATCATTGGCTGACTGAATAATTTTGGCCCCACTGTAACGATTGGTATGTTTAGCTTATTTATTGACTGGAATGATTGTTCAATGTTTACTAATTTCTTCAGAGTGGACCTCACAATAAAAGCACAGGTGAAACTTGAGATCACAGACTGCTGCTATAAATTACTCTCTATGCACAACTTTTGAATCACCTCAAGAGCACATCAGCATGATTTTTATCCCTGAACCCGATTGTCAAAATATCCATAATGCAATAAAGAATATTAATTAATTTGATACAAATAAAACAAATATATAATTAAGTGATGAATGTAGACATAAGCTTTGTTATATCTAGGTTTTGTCAAAAATATACATATTTTTAAAATAATTTATTATACAATTTTAGGTTATTTGTATTGAAATATAGAATTAAAAACATGTTTCTTCAAATTGAAGTCATAGTTATTTTCAGCATATGGACACTGGAGACCTTTAGGTAAGAATATACAGGCCTTGTCTGCAATATTGTGTTTCAGTAACAATCTTAACAATATAAATGTTATGGTTCCTATTTGTTGTTACTCTGAGTTTTCTGTTATCAGTTGTTTTGTTTTTATTTTCCATTATCTTCAAGCATTCTTTAGTTACTCTCTGTTGCCCCCTTGTGATTGTTTTCTTTTCCCTTGGATTCCCTCTTGCCAGTTCCACCCACACCTGCTCCCCATTCAGCTCGTTAGTCTATCCTTTGTTTGGTTGTCCTTAAATACTCCACCTCTGCAGTCACTCAGTGCTGGTTCCTTCTCGTTGCTGTGTTTTCTACTCTACTCGTCTCTCCCTGGCTCCTCAGATTCGTCTTTACCCTGATGTCTCCATGATTTTGGTTTGTTTTATATTTTGAGTTGGATTTCTGCCTCTGCTGCTTTTTGGTTTTCAATTAAATCTTTCAGAACACATCCCAGCTTCACTTGTCTCTGCATCTGGGTCCTCAAAGCAACCTCACCAGCCATTGTTGACAATAAATCCAGTCTTAACTACCCAAAATACAGGACAACCTTTGAAAGCCTTCTTTCTATGTGGACATTTGGACATTTTTATTCAATTGAAAAATGAAATTATTATGAAACCTGATGCAAAGACTTTTTCGAAACATTTTAAAAATATTTTGATAGCATAGAAATTTGTTGGAGATATTGTTAATATTCCACACAAACATAGGGTATCACGTCAACAGCACATGGGTACATTATTGCAATCTTGCTACAAAATTCTGGATATTTACTGGGTTCCTGAATTTTGACGTACAAGGGAACTTCATCTTATGTTCAATAAATCTTTAATTATTTGCTTATAGAAAGATTTTCAGGACTTGCTTTTCATAATATATTCATTCTAGTTGACTCCAGTTGGCATAACCAGGTGTTTTGGAACTAATCAATCTGAGTGAAACTGTCATGCTTTTGGTTCGGATTAAGTTTTCTTCGAGTTCAACGCTATGATGTTGTTGCCTTAAAAATCTGGCCTTTCGGAGGACGCAGCCCCTGAATTCAAACTCAGTGAACGTTGGTCTCCAATTTATACTCCTCATCTTTAGATACTGTTGGCTGGTTTCTCGTAGTTGTTTTTTTTTGTGCTCCTCAGCCTGTCTCCTGGTTTTTGGTTTTCTGTATTTTGTTTTTGGACTTTACTTCTGTTGCCTTTGGATCTACATTAAATCTGCAAGAAACCACCTTAGCGTCCATCTCTGCATTCTGGTTCACTTAAAACCTTCGCTCAACCTGACAGAGACTGGTCTCTAGTGTTTAAATCTCACACCTGCTCACACAACATGTGTCGGGCATACAGCTCCTTCTCAGAATATTAGCATATTGTGAAAAAGTTGATTATTCTCCATAATATAATGATGAAAACTTGAACATTCATATATTTTAGATTCATTGCACAATAGGTGAAATATTTCAGGTCTTTTATTATCTTAATACAGAAGATTTTGGCATACAGCTCATGAAAACCATAAATTCCTATCTCACAAAATGTGCATATTTCATCCGACCAATAAAAGAAAAGTGTTCTTAATACAAAAAAGGTCAACCTTCAAATAATTATGTACGGTTATGCATTAAATATTTGGTGGGGAATCCTTTTGCAGAAATGACTGCTTCAATGCAGCGTGGCATGGAGGCAATCAATCTGTGGCACTGCTGAGGGGTTATGGAGGCCCAGGATGCTTCGATAGCAGCCTTTAGCTCATCCAGAGTGTTGGATCTTGCGTCTTTCAACTTTCTCTTCACGATATCCTACAGATTCTCTATGGGGTTCAGGTCAAGAGAGTTGGCATTTTGGCATTTCCTTCTCCCCAGTCTTCCTCCAGACTCTGACACTTGGATTACCAAATGACATGCAAAACTTAGCAACAGTCCAGTGCTGCTTCTCTGTAGCCCAGGTCAGGCGCCTCTGCCGCTGTTTCTGATTCAAAAGTGGCTTGACCTGGGGAATGCGGCACCTGGGGCCCATTTTTTGTATTAAGATAATAAAAGACCTGAAATATTTCAGTTAGTGTGCAATAAATCTAAAATATATGAATGTTCAAGTTTTATCATTACATTATGGAAAATAAGGAACTTTATCACAAAATGCTGATATTTTGAGAAGGACCTTTACATTTAGCCCTGGCAAATTCTTTTTTGCCAAAGGTTAATGTGGCCCATTTTAGCCCCTGACAGAAATTTGTCTATGATCACTGATGTCTCTAATGCCACGTTTTTGACTATGGAGATGCCAATTACCAGAGATTGCTTCTCAACAGGTTTGTCGGGCATTGAAAATTTTATAGAAATGCAGACGGGTTGTTTGTGACTTAGCTGGGATCTAAACTACGCTGTCTGAGCATTTGCAATTTTAATCTAGTCAGGTGCCTTTACTTTTAGTCAAAGTTATAATGTTAGCAGCAATGAAAAACTCGTTGTCTAGATTTAGTCTTTTCTTCATCACTCCAGTACGATCTATTTGCATACTTTCCTGACTAGCTTGAGTAATATATGAAAGGCAGGAGTTTTTCCCATTATTCAAGAAAACAGGGGAACAAAAATTATCAAGCTGTTTGTACACATTAACCTTCAACTTCGTGTATTTGTTCGGCTCTAAATAATAATAAACACAATGTAGCTTATTTTAGGAAAAAAATCTATGACTGAAAATGAAGATTACTTTTTTTATTTGCTTTTCAAATACATTTTAGATTACAGAAGACATGCTTACAATCTTTGATTTAGGAACAAAGTGGAATTCCAGTAAAATTACAGAAGCCATTTTTTTTTTCAATTTACGAGACATATATTCAGAAACTACAATATATGTATAAGAATTTATATATAGGAGCTCTTTGAATCTAGCTGATTCACTTCTAGCATATTAATTCTAATCTCTATTATTTGGTATCACTTTATTAATCTCATTGCAGAGCCTAACTGAAGCAGTTTGGGCTGAGTTAAATTTGTAAAAATGAGAACATTTGTAAACTCCTCAATTCAAAGCACAGTTTTGAATAACAATCTATCATTATTTAAAACTGGTGGACTAATATTATTATTACTATTCACTCCTAACAGAACAACAATTTCCCTATCTGAAACAACAAAATGTTGGCAGTTCAAAACATATACATATAAATAAAAACATGGGTTAAAAGAATTAGATACTCTGATCAATAGGGAGGTGTTTAGTTGATAAAGTTTGCACAAAAACGGTTCAATTGCTACATTTATATCTGGATATGTAACAGGATGAAAGAAACTAAGTGCTAGAGTATTGAAAATAACTGCAAAAGCTAGAAGGATCATTATAGATTCATAGTGTCATAAAGAAAAATAACTAAAATTACATTTTGTCCATGGTTAACATTAGCTTAAAAAAAGTTGCAAACATTGGCATTTACAAAAGAATGTACTATAATTAAAAAGTGTTGTTTGTTTCAGGGTATTTATGAATTTATGCTGTGCAGCTGAACCCAGCGTTGCTTTACCATTGAAAGCGCCGTGGACACATCTGAGAGAGAAATTTAATTTGGTTAGAATTTTTGTGGACACATAAAAAGCATTCATAGTAATATATTCACAGTTATGTTAACAAACCATTCACAATTACGGCAAATTAGGGGAGGGAGGAAAGGATATTGTGTATTGTGTAACTTAACCTGGAATGGAGTCGTCTTCAGCTTCGACAGACAGCTCGATGGACTCCATCATTTCTTTTTCCAAAACTCCCAGGATGTCCACCTAGTTTAGCATAAAAAGAACCATGAGTGTAAAATCTGTTCTCAAACACTTTTCCCGCTTAGCGAGAATAGATTTCAGAAACCACCGCTAATCACAACTTAATCTAACTTAAAAGTGCTTAGGAATCTTAGGATGGATCTTTTAAGCAGCCACTCAGAAACAGCCCTAAATTTATTCTAGGCTAACAAAAAGGTAAATACAGGACAACTTTGAAGTCAAGAGAATGGTAACATACAACAGAAATATTAATGTTATGGATCAGAGTCAGTGTCCAGATATAAATTAAACTGGTGCAGCAATTTCAAAGATAATGCTCAAAGACTCTCCACCCAGTCTTACAGAGGCTATTTTTAAAGGGAAGATGGACATAATTGTCCATCTCTGGGAGTAAAATCTGGTTAAAAAAACACTTTTTCCTTCTTAGCAGAGTCTTTATCTTTTGTTAAAAAATACAATTTTCATCTCAATTTACAATGATGCAGCTCTGTGTTTTGGTTGTAATGAAGCTCTAGCGAAAGTTCAATTGAAGAAACTCTGACTTACCTCCATCAATCAGAAGCCGATCCGTCTCTGAAGCGAGCCAATCAGCTTCGAACTACTCCACCACGAAGCCCAATCAGCGTCCTGCTTCCACTTTATAACTCCCTCAAATCTCACCACAGCCGCTATCCTGCAATCGCAATGTCGGATTTCGATTCAGACGACAATTCAATTTTCCCCGCTCGGAGAAGCTCCCGTCTAGCCGCTCTCATCTCCTTCTTCCGCGTTACACTCCAAGGGTATATTGCCAGGCTCCGACCTAAACTCTGCTCAGATGTCTTAACGAGCCTCCCTCCTACCTCCTCGTGATTCATCTCCCTCGCCTTCCGCTTCAATCCGCTCCGATTCCTGGCCGCAAAAGACATGCAAGTCCTCCGCTCCCCTCGCCAGGCGCAGAAGGCCTCCCGGATCTGTCCCAGCAGCAGCCACCGCTGCGCCCGCTCCTTCTCATCGTTCGATGCAGCCTCGGAACTTCTTCAGCTTCCTGATTCATAGCAGCTCCCCCGTCTAGTCCTTCTGGCGTTTAACAGCTCTCAGCCTCACTCCGCTCCACCGGACTCTCTCACTCAATCCTTCGACGCTGTCCGCACGCTCCAAACGTGGGAATCCCTGCACTGCCACGTCATCCCTGCCGCTGTCTGCTCAGACGGACCTCCCCCTCCCCTCATTCACATTAGGGAACGCCCGCCAGGGCCAGCCTTAAGGCCCATTCATACCTCACGTTTGGCCTGCACGTCCGTATTTCTGTCCGTACGTTCTATCCGTTGACTCCTTCATACCTCCGTCCGTTGAGGTGCGCAATAACCCGTATTTCCTCTAGGTGACAGTGCTGGGCGCCAATGATTGGTCATTGATCAAAACATGGCGATGGTCCAAGACCTGATTTTGTTGACATTTTGTACTAAAAACTCAATAGCACCCCCACCGTTTCCGGTAGTATTGCTCCGTATTGATCCGTTTCGTCCGTAAGCGTAAGCTCCCAATTTTCGTGTCAAAGTACGGACGAAATCGACGGTTAGAACGTATGAAACACTCCACACGTATCCGTATCCGTCTTTTACACAAGGTATGAATGGGCCTTTAGGGTAAGACGTATTCAACCATGTTTTCATTCATAATTTTCTATCTATTTGAGTTTGCTGTTATGCTTCGTCTGCCTCTATCAGGCATACTTATATTAACACACATGCTGATATTTTCACTAGCCTCGTTCTAAATTATTCAGGGGAATATTTTAATTTAGTCTCTTATTCTTCCCTCCCCTGAAGTCGATCAGCAGGTGACGTCACAGTTTTCCTTAAATCATCCGATCTCCGTCTACCAGAGATCTTTCTATTGGCCAAAATTTATTTTTTTTGGCCGCATTCAGCATCTATTGTGATTACTCAGAGCTTCTGCAGGAGGGCCATCCGATCAGTCTGTCCCCGCCGTGCACGCTTTATATATCGTACCTCAGTCTTAGCAGCCCGTCATCTTACCACCCCTTATTATTACTTCTGATTATCGTTCTGTCTTCTTCTTCTTCCAAAAAAAAAACAAAAAAAAACAACAAAAAAAACAAAAAAAAAACACAAAACTGATGTTCTCCATCAGTCATTTCTAAATGCCAATTGCGCTCCCTGCTAGGTCAGCTAATTTGCCATGCGCTTATTTCTCAAGGCCGCGCTTTCATTCCCAGTTGCTTGATCCGGCAATTTCCGTCCCTCTCCTTGGTCAGATTACTGAACGTAGGCTGCCGTTCGGATCCTATGGTCTGACTGCTTCTAAATTGGAACAAAATTTCTTTTCTATGTCGACATTATCTATCTCCTGCCATGCTTCAAAAATTTTACGGATGCTGCATCCGTAGGTTTTGGGGGGTTCTTCAGGACAGGTGGTTCACGGGTTCATGGCCTCTTTTATTCACACCCATTATGCTTGTGTGAGGTCTAACCCTAGCTAGCTTGCATCGTGGGGCTTGGGAAGGAATCGCGTCCGCCCACTGCGATAACTTCGTAGTAGTTGAAGCCACTAATAGTCACTCCTCCTCCCAGTCTCTCATGCCTTCATCAGAAGCATCACTGGCAGCAGTCACTAACGTTTCATCATCTCGGCGCGTCATGTTCAGGCATTCAAGCACTTTTATTCGCCCAAGCGTTACCCTACGTCCACTCATGGTTCCTTCACCACCTCAGGATACTCTTAGAATCACGTGGCCTTCCCTCTAGTAGGTAATCTGGGCATTCGTTCTGGACCGAGCAGCTGCATTGCAGCTACTCGCGGGGTTCTGAGGCTTCCCTCAGCTCTGGGCCGATGGTTTACCAGCCTATACCTCATTCATCCGCCCAGAACTCTCACCAATTCTCTCAGCTCAGTGCTCTCTCTGCCTCTAGGTAACTCTATTACAAATACTGGTGGTGGTTCAACTCATTTTCTTAATTTTCTGACCTAATCACGACCATCCTCTAACTCATTTTCTACTCCCACTCCTTATCAGTTTTCTTTATTATTCCCTGCTTCATGCAGTCTTCCATGCTGTCTCCTTGCTATTCATGCTATCTTCATTCTGGCTCGCATTCATGCAATCTCACCTTTATGACGGGCATTTATATGCATTCTCCTGTGTGTCACGTCACGTCTGGTCTGTGTCTCGTCATGCATCCTTGACACATTTAGCATGCATTCCCTAATGCATCAATTCTTCATATATGTTACCATCTGCAAGATTCATTATCAGACTCATCTGCAAGATTCATTATCAGACTCATCTGCAAGATTCATTATCAGACTCATCCGCAAGATTCATTATCAGACTCATCCGCAAGATTCATTCCCTAATGCATCACATGCTCCCTATCTGTGTCTCGTCGTGTCTCGTCATGCATCCCTTACGCCATTTTGCTTGCATTTCCAATGCATCAATATGCACCATGTCTGCGTCTCGTCATGTCTGTATCCCGTCGTGTTATATGTTCTATATGGACTCATCCGCAAGATTCATTATCAGACTCATCCGCAAGATTCATTATCAGACTCATCCGCAAGATTCATTCCCTATGCATCACATGCTCCCTATCTGTGTCTCGTCATGCATCCCTTACGCCATTTTGCTTGCATTTCCAATGCATCAATATGCACCATGTCTGCGTCTCGTCATGTCTGTATCCCGTCATGTTATATGTTCTATATGGACTCATCCGCAAGATTCATTATCAGACTCATCCGCAAGATTCATTATCATCATCATCATAATGGGATGCGTCGTCGTCATCATCATCATCATCATCATCATCATCATCATCATCATCATCATCATCATCATCCGCAGGATTCATCATCCGCAGGATTCATCATCATCATCATGGGATCATCATCGTCATGGGTTCATCGTCATCATCATCATGGGATCATCATCGTCATCATCATCATGGGATCATCATCATCATCATGGGATCATCATCATCATGGGATCATCATCATCATCATCATGGGATCATCATCATCATCATGGGATCATCATCATCCTCATGGGATCATCATCATCATGGGATCATCATCATCATCATGGGATCATCATCATCATCATCATGGGATCATCATCATCATCATGGGTAAATCATCATCGGTAAGTTCTCGGCGTCAACCGTGGTCGCCATCCTCATCAACAACCTGGCTCGGTAAGTTGTTCGCAAACCTTCTCAGCATTTCATTACGCATTCTTTATTCTGTCCCTAGCGTATGCCCTACGAGCATACAGACTCTCCGGCCTCGACCTCGGCTTTTTGGGGGAACATCCCTATTCACATTCATCTACTCATGCATGTTAAAGCATAATTCAGCATGAATGTTCCTGCCGAGGTCTGAGCGCCAAAGACTATACTTTCTTATCAATAAATTCTTCTAATTATCTTTTCTCTCTGTGTGAGTTTTTCAGATTGAAATGAAGCTCTAGCGAAAGTTCAATTGAAGAAACTCTGACTTACCTCCATCAATCAGAAGCCGATCCGTCTCTGAAGCGAGCCAATCAGCTTCGAACTACTCCACCACGAAGCCCAATCAGCGTCCTGCTTCCACTTTATAACTCCCTCAAATCTCACCACAGCCGCTATCCTGCAATCGCAATGTCGGATTTCGATCCAGACGACAATTCACCCACCTCCATCCCCTTCTCCGCCATCGCAGCTGAATCGTCCTCCATGACACGACTTCACCTCAGCCTCATCAGAGAGTATTAATCCCAGTTGTCACCATCCCTCGCCTCATCGCATTGGTCCGGCAGAAGACCACCATGTTGAGCCCGGTTCTGCCAGAGGTTTCTTCCCAAAGGGGAGTTTTTCCTCTCCACTGTCGCTTCATGCTTGCTCATCATGGACACTTCACGGTACCTGCATCACCGAGCAGGACCTCTATATCCCGAGTCTGAGTGAAGCCCCGGCGTCAGCTCCCTCAGTCTTCTAGTCCCACAATTCTGCCCAGCAGATCACCTTGTCAACCAGCTCGGATTAAACCACCACCATAAGTCTTTGTGCTTGTAAACTGACAAAATCTATAAAAAAAAAAAGTAACTAAAAAAAAAAACTCAAAATGACAGGATTTGACTGATATTTTTTCACTATGGACACTATGGAGAAAAAAGTATAAAGACAGCTCAGTTTTAATTTCTACACAAACCATCAATTTCATGAGTTTCTCCATCATGACGTCTTTAGCTTTTGCAAACATGGTGTCCTTGTTATTGTTTACATGTCTTTTTATAGTTTCTCTGATGTTCTGCAGTGTGTTCTTTCCTTGAAACTGTGCTGCTTCTGCAAAAGAGAGGATTCAGTTTTCTCCAATCCAGTAGTTATAGCATACATTTTTTGATGGGAAAAATCACTGGTCTTTCTTACCTCTATAGCACTCTTGCATAATTTCTTCAACTGTCTTTGTTAGACTGATGTAGACTTTTTTCTTTCCATCACGAGTAATTTTATTCAGTTTTTTCTTGAGCTTTTCCTCCTAAGTAGAATGTAGTCAACCATGTAAACCAGTCACATAATGCCTCTTCTTTTTAGACTGAATATTTAGAGCATTTCTAGTTTAATGTATATAAGAGCAAAATTTTATTTTTCTGATGAATTACCTCTGTCTTGAGAAATATCAACTGCAGTTCTGCATCTTTGTACTTTTCTTGTAATCTTTCAGTATCAAGTGAAAACGTATTGATCACTCCATTAAAGGGACCACAGTTTCCTTCAACACTGAAAAAGGTCAACACATTTGAATTGTCAGTACACTAAACTCTTGATATCAGTTTAATATTGTAGTTGTATTGTGTAATGCTTATAATTATGTATTTTGTCACTGTGTTAATGGAGCTCTTACGGGAAGGTTTTTCTGAATTCTTCGTCAATGCTCTTATTCAATGATGCAGATAATTTCATGTTGAAATTTATTTCTTTCCCCTTTTTAGGTATGTGGATGCCACCATTTTTCACAGCATTCTTCATGATATTATATTGGGCACTTCCGCTCTTTCTCTGGAAAAAACGCAGAAACAATATCAAGAGAAGAAGAAAAAAACACGTTTTGTAACTATGAGACTACATACTGCAAGATGCAAGATGGACTTCAGGATTTGGTCACATGAATTTTTGGATATTTCAACTCCTTCATCAAGACATTTTCCAAATGTGGCGTATATCATTCCCATTTCCTTTCTGATTCCAACAAGTTGAGAATTGAGCTTTCTTTGAAGGTGTTTACTCACAACCTTATTAACACCAGCCTAAAAGAATCAAGCAAAGTCTTCATACAAATCTATAAAACATTTTTTTTTTTCATCATTAACAATTTTATTTCTAGCTTATTACTGATTCTGAACACAAAAATCCACTGAGATATTACTTTATTGCAAATTCTAGGTTAGTAGTATAAGGACAGAACAGAGGTAGTTTTAACCAAAGATTGGGGCAAAAATTGTTACCACCATTAGTCAGGTAAAAGAAGAAAGCTCACATAGAAGGAGCCTCACATAGAAACTGGCTAATATTTAGTGATTAGATAGATAGATAGATAGATAGATAGATAGATAGATAGATAGATAGATAGATAGATAGATAGATAGATAGATAGATAGATAGATAGATAGATCTTCTCAACTTTACCGCTTTTCTCATGCTGGCTCCTTGAATCAAAGACAGGATTCCATAAGCTCCAGAAACATAGTTTAATGTCTCTGAGTGACAGTCATTCAGATTTTTCAAAAAATCTTGAAGCTCTGGGATTTCTTAGAAAAGATATTCATGTTCATATAAAGGTGAGATTACAGTACATCGGATTTCTTTTTGGTTTTAACTTACCGGTGTTCTCTGGATTAAGGTGTTTTCTTTTCAGAAACTCCATTGAGCTCACTGTGAACACTCTGAAACACCCTTCGCTGAAATATTTCTGTGAAATGTTTTGCTTCTTTGTTATTTGGTTGATTTTAAAATGGGGGCATTACTCTTACAAATATTTAGATGTTTGATGCCTACCTTAACCATGGTTATCTTGTTGAATTCTTTGTTCACTGCTAGCTTTGCTTTCATGTTTCTTTTGAGGATTAAGGCCTGAAGATCAGCTGCTGAACTAAAAGACAACATTTACAGGTAAAACCTGTTTTTCACAATTAATATGCAAGCTAATTTGTAGCAAGTACTGAGCATACACTACCGTTCAAAAGTTTGGGGTCACATTGAAATGTCCTTATTTTTAAAGGAAAATCACTGTACTTTTCAATGAGTATAACTTTAAACTAGTCTTAACTTTAAAGAAATACACTCTATACATAGTGAATGTGGTAAATGAGTATTCTAGCTGCAAATGTCTGGTTTTTGGTGCAATATCTACATAGGTGTATAAAGGCCCATTTCCAGCAACTATCACTCTAGTGTTCTAATGGTACAATGTGTTTGCTCATTGGCTCAGAAGGCTAATTGATGATTAGAAAACCCTTGTGCAATCATGTTCACACATCTGAAAACAGTTTAGCTCGTTACAGAAGCTACAAAACTGACCTTCCTTTGAGCAGGTGGGAGATTTGTACAGGGTAAAAGGGATTCTGAATAAGGAAGGCTACCACTCCATTTTGCAACGTCATGCCATACCCAGTGGACAGCGCTTAATTGGAGTCAATTTCATCCTAGAACAGGACAATGACCTTAAACACATCTCCAAATTGTGCAAGAACTATTTAGAGCAGAAGCAGGCAGCTGGTGTTCTATCGTTAATGGAGTGGCCAGCGCAGTCACCAGATCTGAACCCCATTGAGCTGTTGTTGGAGCAGCTTGACCGTATGGTACGCAAGAAGCGCCCATCCAACCAATCCAACTTGTGGGAGCTGCTTCTGGAAGTGTGGGGTGCAATTTCTCCAGATTACCTCAACAAATTAACAGCTAGAATGCCAAAGGTCTGCAATGCTGTAATTGCTGCAAATTGAGGATTCTTTGACGAAAGCAAAGTTTGATGTAAAAAAAATCTTATTTCAAATACAAATCATTATTTCTAACCTTGTCAATGTCTTAACTCTATTTTCTATTCATTTCACAACATATGGTGGTGTATAACCCCCAGATTCCACATACTCCGTCAGCGCTCCGCTCCGCCCCGCTGACGTACGTCGTGCGGAGCGCTTGTCTTTCATGGAAATCAATGATAGCTGTTCCACATCCACCGCTACTCCTCCGCACGTCTCCGTCCACATACGTCTTCTCCGTCCGTCACCAACAAATTACGGAGCCGAGCTATTTTTTGCTCCGGTCCGGCCAGGTCAAGATCCGCAATTGCAATCGCACCAAACAGGAAAAAGAACATCGACAAATTCCGGTTCGTCAAATTAAAACATAGCAGCAACAGATCGGTGACTAGAAATTATAGCACAATTCTTATATATAGCTATATATAAAAAAAAAAATCTAACACCGTTTATTTAAATGATTGGATCAAACTATTGGTTATTCACCAACGATTTTATACCGAGGGACTTTAATCAAATCCATTCAAAAGAAACTTCTTATTATAGGAATGAAAAGAGATGCTGAGTTTGGGAGTAGAGAACAAGTTCAATCAAAAAAAGCACTTTTGAATTATCCTTATCTCTGTTACAAAAATCTACAAATATATATTTATATATTTGGGCAGAAACTGAACATATGCTGGATGATGGTGGGATTTTTTTAATATGCCATATTAAATTAAGCGCTCACAGGGTTCATACAGGAATGAGTGACTCTAATTTAATGCTATTAGAAATTATTTTAATGCCATCAACAGGAACCATGTACACAAGTTATTAGTGTACATGAAATATGAAGGAGATGTAAGCACAGTTCCATGACTCCTGTATGTATGTAAACACACACACACACACACATATACGTATATATATATCCTCTAGCTTTTTCTCCGCCTGGAGCTTCCTTTCCGAACATACGGCTTTATGATCAGTTTCACGCAAATTAATAGCGATATAATATATCGGACGAAATTGTTTTTATAAGCATTTTTATTAAAGAATCATAAATGCAACGATAAACATATTTAATTAATTTTAGTGCCAATTAAGGCCTTGATTTAAAGAAAAAATGAATGAATTGTAATTATTTTTAATGATCCGCGGAAACCCTGGTTCATCTCGCGCATGCTCTCTACGATCTCCAAGAAACTCAGAGCGGAGCGGACGGGACCACAGCGGCGGCTATAGGCTTTGCTTTGCGCAGGTGGTCTGGAACGCAGCGGGGCGGAGCGGAGCACTGACGGAGTATGTGGGATTTCAGGGTCAGTGTGACTTTTCAGGAAAACACAAAATTGTTTGGGTGACCCCAAACTTTTGAACGATAAAGTATATATGGAGTTCTTTGAAAAATGTTTGATAATCTGGTATTTTCTAATTTAATATTGCCGAATCAGTTGCCTGTGTCAGACTGGCGACATGTCTATCGTGTTTCCCACTTCTCACCAATTAAGATAGTCATCGGCATCTCGCAACCCTGACAGAATAAGCAGGAGAAGATGGATGGATGGATGGATGGATGGATGGATATTGTCAAATTAGACTTAATAATTAGAATTCACTGGCTATGGAGTTTATGTTGTTTTATTTTTTTTTAAATCATAAACAAAGGAGAAAACTGTTTTTTTTTAGCATGCATAAATTCAGAAAATGCATTTAGTTTTACTTTTTCGGTATTTGAAAGTTTCCATAAACTGCAGGAGGGTTACTTTTGCAGTATTTTTAGTCATATCTTTTAATTTAAACCATAAACATCTCTTCTAGTTACAGTTATTAAAAAGTCTTGAGCAGGTTATCTTTGAAAATTATTTATATAACCCTTTAATTCAGGTCATCTTTTTCTTCTTTATGTACCATCATCTTTTTGGCAGATAATATCCCTAGATAATGAAACACCCATAGTTTATTGAAGTGTTATTGTTGTGTTTTTTGAAGACTAAATAGTGATTTATGCTGCAATTATTGAGCCTAGATTGATTCATGTCTGAATTCTATAAACCCTCCACTTTCAGTATGATAGTGAACTTACTTATCATGTACATCTCCTAATACATCAGACTTGGTGCAGATAAAGTGAATGTGTCGACACTCGCCACCGTTTCCCAGGAGACTGCTTGCACTTTTTAGGATCTCCCAGGATTCTTTATCTGCTGCTGCCCGGTTGATTTCAGATACAATCCACACAGCAGAACAGTTTCCAACAATCTAAAGTGATAGATTTTTAATGAGAATTAAGCTTAAATGTATTTTTGAAATATAAGTTTATAAGAATAATTTACGATGAGGACAGGTCCGCAGTATAAACAAGTCATTTACCCCTTTCCACATTGTGTCCCTGCTCTTGTTACGATCTCCATTCCCAGGAAGGTCCACCAGAGTTACATGCTGGAGAAAATCATTATTTGGCACTTTGACAGTCACACACTTCACAAGTGGCCAATACCACCTTTGTATCTCTCTATTGCCTCCTTGTCTGGTGTATTTAACAATTTTTGAAGATAAGTCCTTGGCCTTGAAGATTATAGAGACAGAGGAAACACATCAGTCCACAATTATAAATGAAAAGTAAAGCACAAAAGATTTTACTTTGTAGACCCCCATTTTTGAGGGAATCGTTGGGGTCGGTCCCCAGCTCTAAGAGTGCTTTTCTTCATATGTTTCTAGAGATTTAAATTCTTGCTGGTTTTACAGCAGCTAGGTGAAAGATCTTTTTTTAAATAAAATTCTTCTACAGTCTTTTACAGAATATAATTTCAGTTTAGGTCTAGACATTGACGGTCTGGACTTGGACTAGGTTTCCTTTAAACATAAATAAGTTTTGTATGCTTTTTTTCTCTGATAGGAGACTCCCATTTGTTTTTATGTAGTATTATACCACTTTTATAAGACCAGAACCACAAGATGTTGTTTAATCAATCTTACAGATTCACAAGTTAAAATCTTCTTTGTGGACTCAAGAAATTCTGGAATCTCTCTGAAGTTTTTAATATCCATGAGTTGTTGCAAGGATTTTTGTTTCCATTCTTCTCCATACACTGCTGAAAGCTTTTCAAAAAGGTCATAACGGCTATCAATATCATCATCGTCGTCGTGCCTCTCCTGCTCTCCATCATCTTCAAAAGAGTGGTCTATGGTTCCCACCTCGTCTTCCCACTCCTAAAAAGAATGAAAAACCCTGAGATGTTTTAGGTTACATAGAAAATGAGGAAACTGTTTAAAATCTCTATTTACCTCTTTGGTGATAAACTCTATCTCTGCTTCATACTTTGAGTTGTGCATATTTGACTCCACTTTAATCATGACCGAGGTACATGCATCAACATCTCCTGATGGCAAAAGTGTCCGTACACCTAAAACAGCATTTATCAATGAAGTCTTTCCAGCTCCAGTTTTACCAAATACACCAACTAACTCCCTCTTGTCCATCTCCAGATCTTTAATTTTGGTCCTGTAAAAAAATTTGAGAAACATTAATTACGTTAACCTTCAAAAGTTAGCTTGGCATGTCTCAGACTGTGTCGGAATAGTGCAGCTTGATAAATAACATCCTACTCGCATGATTTCTACGCCAAGATCAAGTTATAACCATAGAGTGATCAGCTCTGCCTTGTATTCTTAGGGACCGAAACAGATATTGGTAGCTTGTAGATATAACCTCACATGTGAGTATCATCGTCTCTGATGTTGAAAGTAAATGACCAGTATTTGAACCCTAAATCCACTATACTACATTTAGTCAATCACACTGTATAAACCTCAGCTGGACTGGGGCAGACTGACACAAGCAAGACTGCCGTACAGTACCCTCTGACCACCAATAGCAATCAATGAAAAGGACACAGTGATGGAGAAAGACAGTTGAACTGGGGCTTAAACCAGAAACCGGACGTACCCCTACCTCTTACACCACTGTTGCTCTGTAGAATCACAAAAAGTCCCTATCCATCAGTGAGATTTAAGGTGCTCCAATAGAATAGAGTGATTAACCGTCTTGAATGCTCGCCTGAGGTCCTCTACTACCAGCACTATAGTTCTTTATTCTTCATTTTAATTTGACACATTTAGAAGCGCTGTCTTGGTACTGTGGTAAGCACACAAGCCTGAGTAGAAGACGCTAAAGAAACTGGTTGTTGTTATTGGGGTACTAAATATTTAGGCGCAACTTTTTCTTACTGGTTTGAAATGGGCCCGAAGTGCAGCAGTAGGAGCTTGTCCAATTTGTTCTTTGTCAACAGCTACAGTATTTGGCAGTTTTTGTTTTTAGGGCCTGGGGAGTGTACCTGACAAAGTAGGATGTTTATATCGATTGAGCCAAGTCAGATATTATGGTTGGAAAATCTCTCTTAAAACAAGTTGTGTAGAAAAAAGCCACACAAGTCTGAGAGAGCCTCATGTTACATAATCAGCATGTTCTTTAACCATTTTATGCCATGAATATTTTTGGTGTTAGCAGGGGAGCCAAATGAAGAAAAGGAGAATGTTTGTAAGTCTTAAAACAGGCGCAAACATGTTTGTATGCACAGAGCAAATATTCAAAGAAAATTCAAAGTGCTTTGTCTTTGCAATTCAGCAGACAGGATTGTGCCAACCCTGTTTTGCATGTTTTCCTTCGTGAATATGCAGATCATAATCTAATGACCACCCGGGCAAATCCATATATGGAGGAAATGCAAATGTAAACAGTCACTATACACAAAGCAATTTTCCAAATCGAAAACTCAACTGCAGCCAAATTTTTGTGTGTTTTTTATTATTTCTGAAAGTAAGGTGGAAACTGACACATAAAATTATCTACCACTGGACCAAAGGATGGAGAAATATTCTGGGTGCATGGAAACATACTGTAATTGGACCGTCAGAAATAGGAATAGTAGAATAATCTGAAGAAAGAAAAAAAATTATACAGGCTGGCACCATTGCAAGACAACAATCTTTATACAGCTAATAAATCTAAAAGCAATAAGTCAACTTGAATGTTGTAGCATGGTTATAAAAACGGGTTGAAAAGAGACATGTGAATGAAGGGGGGAGATATGGAAGAGACTGCCTATTTCTTTACAACAGGGATTTTTTTTCCCCCATCTATTTATTAAAACATATTTATTCAAGGTTATGCTTTATTTTCTTTTACCTATTTTGTCATGCTTTGAGAAGGCTATGAGGTGCACATTATTTTGTTCAATTCCATTACTTTGAACATATTTTTTCTTATATTGCGACTCTCAAACTGCTTGTAGAATGCACAATCTGCTTTTTTAATGGAAGGAACAAAATCTGTTTGCAGGTTTTAACATTTGTGAGAAATCTACATAGATCACCAGCAACATACCCAATTATTGCTGGTATAAAAAAAATGTATGTGCAATTTTAACACCTCCTATTTGGAATCTTTGAAGACCAGGTCCATAGTGTACATGAAGAAAACAACACTTACAGTAAAGAAAAAAAAAAAAAAACAATAAAACCCAGGGACTAGACCTGACAACTTTAAAAAACAGTTAATCTAACCCACCAAAGCTTTATTTGTTGGGCACAAAGAGGAAGACACAAAACATACTTACTTTAGGAATTCATTAAGATCTGTGCTGTCTTGATTGCTTAGGTTAGTATGAACATGGGCCATAATGTTTTTTACGTCATTCAATATCATTTCTTCTGTTGGTGAAAACAATACAAAGACTGAACAGCAACACTGACCAATGAATGTGAAGCAAAGTTAATGTTATTGTAACTTTAACTCATGTTTAAACTACACATTGGTCAACAATTTTATTTTTGTTGATATCCAGCATTTACCTAAAAGGGTTTTATATATTTATATCAATATTAATTTGGCACTATTATTAAAAAAAATAAATACCAGAGTTTTGAAAGCTGCCACGCTGCCGTTTTACTGCTGGTTTGTCTTCTTTAGATTTCTCCTGAAGCTCAATTTCACTTTTTCTTTTTCCTTTTTCCAAAAATAATTAATTGGTTATCTCAATATTAGTTCGATCAAATAACAAACTACTTGAGAATCAGATTAAGACATTTTGTGTACCATATATATTACTTGCCGAGGACACAACCTGTGGATAAAAAACAAAAAAAAAAAAATATCCCAGTGAAGAACTTGTTTTGAATAGATTTATAACAAGAACATGTGACCAGACATATAGAGTAGTAACTGCACATGTTTGAGCTCCACAGTCTCATTACTGACCTCTTTGCTCTGTTCCGTTGTTTTTATGAGGCTTATGTTCCCTAATGGTTTATAAGTATTTTAAAGCATATTTGAAGAATTAATTTTCAAATGAATAAAAAAATAAATTAATAACTGCTGAATGCTATTTAGGGGCTAAGTAACTTCAGGAGCATTTCATTGTACTATGTTATACTCAGAAGCCTGAGAGCAAGGGCTCCTAAATACTAATATAAAACACTTTAACTGTAGTCCCCCTTACCTTGGATAAACCAGGTGCATCTTTTTCTTGCTGTTGCCTCTGTAGGAATAGTTATTTTTGTTAAACCATTAATGTGCCTAGGAAAATATATTCATTGTTTAATGTCTGTTACACTTTCATGGATGAAATAGCTTTGGCTTACCGCTTTAGGACCAAGTTCTCCATTTCTTTTACTTTCTTCCTCCTAAAAAGAAAGGCCATGTTATTTATTTATTTATATATATACAGTATACTATATATATATATATATATATATATATATATATATATATATATATATATATATATATATTATTCAATCAATCTGATTAATTGTTTATATGCTCTATAGTTTGAGTATATAAGCAATTAATCAGATTAAATTAATTATTAAAAATTAATTAGATTAAATATTGAAATAATTGTCAACTAATTTAGTAATGGATTAATTGTTAAATAGAGTTTAGAGACTCCAAAACATGCCCTTAGCTGACAGAGCAACCGACTTAGGCTACGTTCACACTGCAGCCTGAAGTGACCTAAATCCAATTTTTTTGTCCATATGCGACCTGGATCTGATCTTTTCATGACAGTCTGAACCACACAGATCTGATTTTTTCCAATGCGACCCAGGCCACTTGGCTATGTGGTCCTGAATCCGATACGAATCTGATCTTTTCAAACGCGACCTGTGTGTGAACGGCCAGGTCGCATTCATCCAACCTGAATGTTATTAATACCCGACAAACGTCACAATTATGCGTCTCACTATGCAGAAGCGGCAAGAAAAACAACAACCATGGCGGATGATAATGCAGAGAGCAGTATTTATGTTTACCCATATTGAAAAGATTGTGTTTTTATTAGTGCTGTCAATCGATTACATTTTTTTAATCGCGATTAATCGCATCAATGCCTGAGTTAACTCGCGATTAATCGCATTTTAATCGCACATTTTTTTCCTGATTGAAAATCATTTAAATACTCTCGATGACATACAAAAAAATACATACAGGCTAGGTTTGTGCCAATGTTCTTTTTTTAAAATGAAAACAGGTCACAGACACTGACTTATGCCATAGAAACATATGGCAAGAAGATGGGGAGGCATGTAGCCAAAAAAAAAGGCCCTGAAAACAGGCTGATGTAAAAGACAGTCTTTACAGTTAATACAGTCTTTTGAACAAAGACAAGCATTTTACCCTACTGCTATAAAATGTAGTACAGTTAACATTAGATGTTAATTAACCAAGATAATAATGAACAATTTTCAATCAATACATCAAAATCAATAGACCGACATCACTGGATGGAGGTAGTCTATACTCTAGAAAGTTACTTTTCAGCCTCTTAACAAAAATGAGAACGCACACCCACCCACACACACACACACACACACACACACACACACACCCACACACACACACACACACACACACACACACACGATACCGACCTGTGGCGTACACAGACAGCAGGAGTGCCGTAGCAGATTCCATTTCACCTCAGTAATCTGTTTTCTCAGCGTATTTCAGGTTGCTACTAGTTACCAGACACTCAACGTGTTTGTTGGTGGTGGGGCTTAAAGAAAAGGCACTAGCGTCACCCAGTGTATGAGCGTCTTCTTTCGTTGAGGAGCTCCGCTCTGGAAGCCTATGAGAAATGCATAGACTGGGGGAAAATAGCCCCGCCTTCCCGCAGGCTGCAGTGGGATGTACTTGGAAAATTGTACCATAAAACCACATAGCGTTAATCTCATGTTAAAAAAATTATCGCCGTTAAAATGGCCTCGCGTTAACACGTTAATAACGCGATAATTTTGACAGCACTAGTTTTTATGTTTGGAAAAGACCACTAGATGCGCGCCGGTACTACCATCCAAGTTTACGTCCGGAAAAAAAGAGCATGCTGGCCTGTGAAGTCATTGCGCCCTCTACTGCGTATGCGGTGCACGTGTTGTTTGACTGCAGTTCACAAAGGAGATCACATACAAGTCGCACGCAAAAAAATCGGAATTGAGCATCAAGGCCTGCAGTTTGAACGTAGCCTTAGAGCAGTAATTAAACCAAGATTGTCAAAAAATATATCAACAGTTTGCATTTAAGGTAAAAAAAAAAAAAAAAACGTTTCCATCCTTTAGTATGCTCTATCCATAACACAAGTTTTAGTTTCAGTTGGTTTAATTTTGTAAAAAGTATTTTTTAAGGAGACTTTTTCTATCTGATTATTAATTGAAAAACAATCGACAGATGAATCGATTTGCAAATGAATCGTTAGTTGCAGCCCTAACGATTACATATACAATGAAATACATATATACATATTTATATATCCATATACTGTAGATCTATAGATAGATATGTTTAAACAATACCTTTAACATCCTGAGTTTCTTCTTAAACCGAGCCCTCTGTCCCACTTTTGGTATCAATATTAAAATATCTTTATCCTCCAGACAATAAAGACTCTCTTTATCCACTCCTTCATCTGTGATTCAGAAATTTAGTTATTTACAGCTGTAGAACAAAGATTTATAAAGAATGCAAACTGCTAATTTTTGAAAGACTGCGACTATTAATCTAACTCAAATTGATAAAGGACAATATATGCCATATCGTAGATGATTAACCCTCGATTTGAATAAAGTGCTGAGCTTTTACATTGTTTGCCTCATCTTTTTATTACAAAGAGAAAAGGCGGAAACATTTATGTAATGAAACTAATATCTAAGTCCATGCAAGATAATTGACCCTAAAGTTATTTATGTTTGACAAGCATATAAATTATTTTTTTCTAATGAATAAAAATATTATACAAAGAAAAGATCATGAAGAAATATTAAAGATATTCACCAAACAACAATTAAAGCTGAGGATACAATGCACATAGGACTTCTCCTTATCAACTGTCATGTATTGTAATACTTTACCTTCAAATTTTTTTATGAATTCATTGAGACCCCACTGGTTTAGTTTGTCACGCAAAAAGGTATCCATTTCAAAAAACTGAAACTGAAAGGAAATAATCATACTGTCAGTATTGGAACTACCATAAGTAATTTTTCCAGCATGCACATTGAAGAAATCCAGTTAGAATAAACTTTTTACAGTTGAAAATTAGACTTTAGAGTGAAAATATTCTCCTGTTTCTGAAGGTAAAGCGAAGAGTTATGTCAGGGAGAAGGAATGAGAAAACTTAAAAAGAGCAAAAACAGAAGGGAACGAAATTATCTTAAGGAGCGGAAAAAGACTTGTGAATGTGAACACAAAATGCCACCTGCTTTGAAACTAACAGCCAAGTTGCATGGAGAGATGAACCTGTACTAACAGTAGTAATAGTCTGTTGAAAAAACTCAGAGAAAGGAGGAGGGGTTTAAGAAACGAATAATGAGAGTGAGAAAACAGAAAAAACACTTGAATGGTTTCACTTTTACCGAATTAAAGAGGCAAAAACCTTGGAAGGTATTTGTCATACTCATGTGTTTTAAAATCCATGCCAGTTGTTTTTACAGTTTTGTTATGCAATGGCAAAAAGGTCTCAACGGATAAAACTCGCTCAGCAAAGCAAGACTTGGACTACCTGTTCTGACTAAATTAAGGCTATGGAAGTAAATCTGTGTCGCTGGGATTTGAATTAAAAATGCCACTGAAATTTAAATGTTGTATGTTTGTACTTACTGTTTCAGTGTTAAAATATATTCACAACGCATTTTTGACCTAAAAAAATTCATTGTCAATATTTCTGCACAGTTGAAATTTAATTTGTTATTTTCTCTTCAAGCTAAAAATTCACATTACTATTTCAAAGTGATTACATTATTAATACTTATTTTTCGGTGTTAAAAAATCTGCATATAAAAAAATTAATCATTTCAAAATTCAAACTCAATATTTTCAGCCTTCTGAGATTCAACTGGCTCTATTTCACGGTCTTAAATTCAGCGTCTCAATTCAGTGTAAAAAGGGAAGGGGTTACTTCAGGTCACAGACATTAGCAATGGATTGTGGTGTCCAACACCCAGCCAATCCCGTTACGTTTTCTTAGTCACGTGACGTGACGCTTGTGGCGCTTTTTTTTAGGTCAAAAATGTGTTCTGAGTATATTTTAACACTGAAACAGTAAGTACAAACATACAACATTTAAATTTCAGTGGCATTTTTAATTCAAATCCCAGCGACACAGATTTACTTCCATATAAGGCAGACCTTGTGAGATTAATGGGTTTCACCAAAATGTCTCACTTGTTTAATGTCACAAGTGCAAAATAGATTTGGATAATCATTGTTGCTGTCAACATAAGCACACCATGCAGTCTAACCAGGCTAAATGTGAACGGGCACTATGTCACTTGTTGAAAGCTATGAGGAATTCAGAAATTCAATTGAAAAGTAAAAAGGATATACTGTTACAATTGTGCATGAGTATAAACATGACTATATTCTTATTTTGTAAGAAAGATTTATGTGCTTTGGTCTATTGTAACCTTACATGTTTGTTTGAAGAATTAACCCCCTAATCTTGCTGACATATTTGTCACCTTTTGTTGGGAGCTGGAGAAGTTCCACCTTTCTCCAGCAGAGTCCGCCGTGGATCCTTCTGAGGGAGCCTCCTGCACAGCTGCAGCCCATCAAGATCATCAGAGGATCCACTACTTAAGCTGTCTTCAGACCTTGCCTCAACGCCGCAGTGTTGATCCAGTTGGTCAGCGCCTAAGCCTAGATCCTCAGTGTAACTTTGTGACTTTGAATCCAGCCTGGATTCTAACCGTTGTCTCTGTCTTCCAGGAAACCAGTGTCTCCTCTGTGAAGCTCAGGAAGAGCTAACCTGCCGAGCCGACCCTCTGAGCCAAACCTGAAGAATCATAGAGAACCTCCATGCAGCTCAGGACTAAGAGCTGGAAAACCCCGAGCCAAGGTCTGTTCATTTTAAGACGTGAGACGCTGAAGCAGCAAGCGGACTCTGATGATGAACTCCTCTCCAGATCCAACAGTGACTCTCCCAAAGCTAACCTCAAGAACCCTCAAGGTACAATCAGTTATCTTCAAGAAATCAAGCTCCAGCTTGCAACGCTAACTGAACTGTCTCTCACGCAGACTCCGGTGAACCAGTGTCCAGGCCCGAACCAGAACCAGTACATTCTGTGTGCTTGCATCTAAATAAACTTGTTAAACTTTTATTCCTGTGTCCGTCAGTTGTGTTCTGCATACTTGGGTCGCTTTTAGTGAACCCATCATGACAGAACACTGCGGCCAAACTCAAGGCCCAGCAGATCACCTCACCCGTCGATTGGAGGAGCAGGATGCCCAAATTCAAGGACAAACCCAAACGCTCCGTGAGTTATACCGCCTGGTTGATACTCATAACCATATGCTACAGAGTTATGCTAACTATTTGAACAGCGCTAATGCTGCACCAGCACCACAACCATTTCCGGGTCCAGTTCCACCTCCGAGGTCACCTGCAGTGACGTCATCTGAGTTCCGCCCAAGTCTTCCAGAAAGATTTTCTGGTAACATGAAAGATTGCAAAGGATTTTTATTTCAGTGTCGTTTGATTTTTCAGAACTCCCCTGGCAGTTTTTCCACGGATTACAAGAAAATAACCTTCATCCTCTCTCAGCTAACAGGAAGAGCCTTAGAGTGGGCTCAGGCAAGATTTGCCACTGATGATAGCCTAAACTGCTATTACTCTGACTTTCTCTCTGAATTTACTCAGATATTCAACCAAGAGACAGATCAAACCATTGACTCTCGAGCTCTTTTCAATCTAAAACAGGGAAATTCTTCTGTGGCTGAATTCTCCATCAACTTCCGGGTTAAAGCGGCAGCTTCCGGATGGAACCAAAGCGCTCTGAAGGGAGCCTATTTCATGGCTTTAAATGAGCACATTAAAGATGAGCTTGCAACCCTCGACGAACCAGCTACCCTCGAAGATCTAATTCGTCTTACTATTAGATTGGACAATAGAATTCGTGCCAGAAACAGTTCAAAAAAACAGGGGACACTTTCTTCTGCCTCACATAACGTGACTGTTTGTTCTTCCTCTACAGAGCAGCTGCCCATTCAGAGACCTAAGTCCCAGTCTCTACCGCTGCCCATTCAGGCCTCTCATTCAGGCGAAGGAGATGTCGAACCCATGCAGGTGGGACACACGAGGCTCACCCCAGAGGAGAGACAAAGACGTTTTCTAAGCAAATTATGTATTTACTGTGGTGAGAGTGGACACTTCATTGCTTCCTGCCCGGCTAAATCAAAAGCCTGGGCCCGCCAGAGGATCTGAGGAGTCTGGCGGGCCAAATTAACACTAAGAAATCTCCTCGACTGTTACTTCCTGCCACGTTTTTTTGTGCTAACCAAAGCCTCTCCTTTTCTGCATTCATCGACTCAGGCTGTGAACGGAACTTAATCTATTCTAACCTCGTCCAACAGCTCCAAATTGAAACCATTCCTCTGACTCAGCCTCTTAGTGTTTCTGCTATTGACGGAAGGAGACTTCACCAAGTTACCCATCAAACTCAGCCCCTCGAGCTACTTCTGTCAGGTAACCACCGAGAGACAATAACATTTCTTGTTTTTCCCTCTGCATGTTCCCCTCTGGTGCTTGGTTTCGAATGGTTGGAGAAGCATAATCCTCACATTAATTGGACAGAGCGTCACCTGGAATCATGGTCCATCTCATGCCATGAAACATGCCTCCGTTCAGCTGCCCCCTTGGTGGGGTCTCCTAGAGGTGGGGGGGAGATGGACTCTCCTGACCTTTCTTCAGTTCCTTCCGAGTACCATGACCTAGCTCCTGTCTTCAGTAAGGTCAGTGCGACGTCCCTACCTCCACACAGACCATATGACTGTGCCATTGAACTTTTACCTGGTGCACCACTACCTAGCAGCAGGTTGTATAATATTTCCAAGCCTGAAAGAGAAACAATGGAAAAATACATTAATGAATCATTAGCTGCAGGAATAATCCGCCCATCTTCCTCTCCTTTGGGCGCCGGGTTCTTCTTCGTTGGAAAGAAAGATGGCTCCCTGAGACCATGTATTGATTACCGAGGTTTGAACCAGATCACAATAAAGAACAAATACCCACTTCCTCTACTCGCCTCTGCATTCGAACCCGTACAGGGAGCCACAGTTTTCTCGAAACTGGATTTAAGGAACGCTTATCATCTTCTTAGGATCCGAGAAGGAGATGAATGGAAAACAGCCTTCAAGACTCCATTGGGCCAATTTGAGTACTTGGTAATGCCTTTTGGTCTAACTAACGCTCCAGCCTGCTTCCAGGCCCTCGTGAATGATGTTCTCAGAGACTTTTTAAATGTATTTGTCTTCGTTTACATTGACGACATACTCATCTACTCCAAGAACCTCGATGAACATAAGAAACATGTCCGCCTTGTTTTACAGAGACTGCTGGAGAACAAGCTGTTTGTAAAGGCCGAGAAGTGCGAATTTCACCAGTCTTCAGTCACCTTTTTGGGGTTTGTGCTCGAGGGCGGCCAGGTAAAACCATCTGAGGACAAGATAAAGGCAGTTTTAGACTGGCCAGTTCCAGAGAACCGCAAACAGCTACAGAGATTTCTAGGCTTTGCAAATTTTTATCGTCGGTTCATCAGGAACTATAGCCAGACCGCCCTTCCATTAACTTCTCTGACCTCTGTCAAACGCACTTTTCAGTGGACACCTGAGGCGCAGGCTGCGTTTGAAAAATTAAAATCTTTATTTTCCAGAGCACCAGTGCTAATGCAGCCTGACCCAGCTAAACAGTTTATTCTCGAGGTGGATGCTTCAGATTCTGGAGTTGGAGCAGTCCTATCCCAGAGACTAGACACGGATCAAAAGATCCACCCTTGTGCATTCTTCTCCCGTAGACTTTCTTCCGCTGAGCAGAATTACGATGTGGGAGACCGAGAGCTGTTGGCCATCAAACTAGCGTTGGAGGAATGGAGACATTGGCTGGAGGGAGCTGAGCATCCGGTTCTTGTATGGACTGACCACAAGAAACTGGCTTA